GCTGAATGAGGTGGTGAAGGCAGCCACAGATCACCCCATCAAACTCATTCTGTCAGCGAGTGAAACCTGTACAACCATTTACAGTGTGCAGTCTGCTTCAATTTCTGTCATTCTGCCATGAAATCGGTGAGAGGCTATAAACGGTTTTCTCAAATTGAGATACAGACACCTTTATCCCACCTGTTAGCTGAGACTATCAGACAAGAAAAAAAAATTTAAAAACCAAACAAGCAAACAGTTTTTCCTTAAGAATCCAAGCCAGAAATCCCTGAAAATTCTAGTATTAAAATTTAAGACCTAAGCATCACCTCATAATGGTAGAGCACATACAGGGCAGGTGTTTTAGGGGGACTGGCAAGACTAATAAAACAATGTTGTTCATGTGTGCTCCTAATCAGGTCTTTATAGCTGAACTCCTTTAAATTCATGTAATGCAAAGTAATTATTACCAAGATAATAAGAAATTGACTGCCTGACTACATCCAAAGCTTTAGAAGCATTTACTGAAAGAGTTCGGTAACCATCTTTTTGTACACGAAAAGACAATGGAAGCTAAAGACAATGGAAGAATTTCCTGACTTTTTACACCATGTGGGAACACTTCAGTATTGCCACGTGACTTCAGCAGTTAAAAAATTTCAGCACAATTCTAAAATAAACATATTTATACTTGGATTTGTCTCTAAAAGGGAGGGAGGCAAAACATCTTCAAGGCAAGCAGGAGTGAACAGAAGTTGTGCTGCCTCAGGGATGGGGGGTTTAGGAAGAGGCAGGCACCCCCAGAAATCAGATCTGAGCAGAAGGCTCTGCCACCTTCCCTCCCAGCCCTGCTCTGAGCAGCTGGGACAAAGTCTGCCCTATTCACAGGCAGGCACAGCTCTTCAGAACACAAAAAAGGAGGAGGCTTGTCAAGACAACTGCATATAGACACTGGAAATAACTCCCGACGGCCACATTCCTGCCATTGTCACTGCTGCCCGCGCTGTGACATGCCATATGCTTTTTGAATGCAGGAATTGAAGATGCTGGCTCTGGCTCTGGCCCCGCTGGGAGCTCTGCACAGGCAGAACCGGGAGGCACAGGCAGAGCCGGGAGGCACAGGCAGAACCGGGAGGCACAGGCAGAGCCGGGAGGCACAGGCAGAGCCGGGAGGCACAGGCAGAACCTGGAGGCACAGGCAGAGCCGGGAGGCACAGGCAGAGCCCGGCGCTGGGGCTGCTGCTGAGCGCCCCCGGCACCCGAAATCCTCCTGCAGCCAGAGCCATGCCGGGGCATCCCGGGTTTCCATGCCTGGGTAGACGTGGATCTTTTTTCAACTCCGTTATTTCCTGGAGGGTGGTTTTTTTGTTGTTGTTGTTGTTGTTGTTGTGGTTTTTTTTTGTTTTTTTTTTTGTTTGGTTTTGTTTTGTTTTGTTTTAAAATTTCCCTTTTTGTTATTAATTGTCCTGAACAATAGTTTTTTTTTTTTTTTTTTTTTTTTTTTTTTTTTTTTTTTTTTTTTTTTTTTTTTTTTTTTTTTTTTTTTTTTTTTTTTTTAAGTAACTCGAAACCTCATTTAGTCTAAAGAGGAACAGAAACTACACTAGAAGATAGCTATTACACTGAGCAATGAAAAGTACAAAATGGTTCGCTTACATACCATTTTCAGTACCATTGATACTGAAATACACTGGTTGGTATAGTAAATTATGTGTGTTCTGTCACTGCAAGAGAAAAATAACATGATTTTATGTCCTAGAATCCTGTATTGCTGCAGAAATGGACTACGTATTTCAGGAGTCTAGAAGAAACAGTAGCTCTGCATTGCAGGTACCGCTCGGCACAAACTTGTTACTCTGCAATCGAATTAACCATTTTCATCAGAAACCCCTGGTTTTCACCAAATTTAGAAAGATAACCACAAAAGGGTAGTTTTCCAAAATGCGTGAGGACAGATCTGCTAGTATTCAAAACCGAGGCCGAGCGTTAAAGGAGTGAGAGAAGTTTATTAACGCAAGAACAAAGAAAGTCCTGAGCGCAAAGCATGTGCTCCCAACCAAACTGCAAACACTCGAACGCTGGAACAAAGGTGACAGCGAGCAGAAAGGACAGATGGCTCAGACAAATCGTGGGTGGAAATCCCGTGTGCCACCCACAGCACTCACCTGGGAGCTGGAAGAGCCGAGCCCACCCCGCCAGCGGCCCTGGGAGCCCGGGCAGGCTGGCACAGCCACGCAGCCAGCCCTGCTGCTTCCCACAGCCGAGCAAATTAAAGATTACAGCCACCCAGAGAAGCACATGTGCTGAATTCATCCAGCACGCTGTGCAGAAAGGCCACAGGTTCCTAGGGGAGTCAGCTGCTGACAACAGAAGGGAAAGCAGTAGACATTACCTTAGACAAGCAAGAGTCGGGGTTTCTAAATAGGAAAAGCACAGCCAATAAGTTCTTGGACAGAAGTAGAATTTTGGAAGCAGGCAGTGCAACAGCAACACAAGCTTGTTTACTTTTAGACCACTGTAACGATTTAAAGAGAGCAATAAATTCGCTATATCCTGTTTTACTACAGACTGTAAAGTGACAAGTACACCTTAACAAATCCTGGAATACCAGGAAATTTGAATCCACCCTTGTATTTGTCTCCAAAACAAAGGAAAACAAATGAAGTGCAAAGCAGCACACCCCCGTGGGGCTGAGGGCGCAGGGCTGCCCCAGCAAAGCTTTCAGCCCAGCTGCAGCAGGTTTTCCTGCTTTCCCCTCCGTGCACCGCACAGACAGCATTGTCCTGCCCTGGGCATCCCGGCACCTGCCCCACCGCTCGGGGCCTCTTTCACAGCTGAAAAGCATCTTCTCTCCAAGTGAGAGGCAAGGGCTCTCACACTCTGTGTTATCCGCTGAGGTTAAACACTATTCATGCGCTGCCACAGCAGCTTCTCAGCCTGCAGAAACCCTGGGGAGTGGAAGCTCACCACACACACACACAGAGCCTGGTGGAGCTCGCGTTTTGTCAGCAGATACCAGGAGGAATGCCCGTGATTAAGGGTTCAGTTGCCTCAGTTTCTACCCAGTGTTATGTTACTTTTCCACTTGGACAGCCTGGAGAAGTTTGGGTTTAGTTTGTTGTTCGTTTGGTATTTTGTTTCAATGAAGCAGAGACGCAGCTGTTACACACCCTGAAAATGAAGTCCTCTTCCACAGCCTCTGAGGAAAAGGAGTTTCTCAGCTGTTGCTTACCTTGTTCAATACCCTGAATAAATTTCTTAAGCTCCTAAGCACTTTTGATCAATTAAACAGTGGGATTTCTGGAAGTCACACCTGCAAACCTTATCTTCCTTCAAGTCATCTGTTTGTTACTTTGCCAGAAACATGCAACTTGTTTCATCATCTTCTTTTTTGGGTCAGAGGCTCGTCAATGCCTTGGGTTCTTTGCACCCTTCTTAGAGACAAAATAACCATCAAGGATCTTAATTCTCAGTAAGGACAGCCTTTTTTTTCACCTCTAAATTAATGCCAGCTGTTAAGTGGACTAAAAGCTGGGGCTTTCAGCAGTCTGTTTCCCTTTTCCAAGCAGAGCTTATGTTGGCATTCACTGTCGTTGGGCCAACAGCTCTTCAATATGAATTTTCTCATCATATTTGAAATTCAAGCCACAGAGCTTTCACTTCACATCAAATAATGTCATGGCAAACTCAACAGGCTCCAGTGTACAGAAAGCTGAATAAAGACAAACGGGTGGAAATGCTGCCAAAGATAATCCCAGGACACCAGTGACATCTAGGGGCTGCCGAGGTGGGAAAAACTCGGACAAAGGCTCCTCCCAACAGCTCCGCAGGGCCAGCCCCGGGCTCTGGGTGCTGCCAGAACCTCACCAAGGAGGAGTCTGTAAATACCTGAAGCCACGTTTAACTCACACTCTTATTAAACTGAAAATAAAATTACCAAAAGCAGAAACGAGTGTGAAACATTACCTGGTAGTTTATCCCACCAGCAGCACCTCAGTGCTCCCAATGTTCTTGTTATCCATTACCAGAACTTGCCTCCAAATGCCAGCCCCTCTGGGGGGGCACAGTGCTTCGGGTGGGTGACACTGGGGTTTGGAGCTCTGTCACAGCTCCACCAACACATCTCTCCTCTCTGCTGACCTGAGCAAGGAACTCGGGTGCTGTTAGGACAGAAGTGTTTTCAGACAGACACACAACTGCCCACAATTTTAGGGTTCATGCAGAGGACTGCCAAGGGCCCTATATAATATGCTCAACGAGCATGTTTTAAAATGCAAGTAAGTGCACAGCACCACCACTGTGCCCTTGGTGTGAAGGCAGTTCCCCTGTGTGCTGAACTGCCCTGTGGTACCCAACACCTCGATTGTGCAGCTTACAGGAGGATCTGGGTCCTTTACGACCAAACCAGCTTGCTCTATTTAAAGAATTCCACAAACCTCTTACAACACAGCCACGGAGAAAAAGAGTTAATGAAGGTCTCACAAGCTGAGTCCCTCCTGAACAGGAGTCCAAGTCCTGAGCTCCAGCTCTGCTCCACTCAGCAGAGAAGCAAACACCAACAGGGAAGCACTGCAGTTTGCAAAGTTTCAGCAATCTTCCAAGACAACACCTCACACCTCGACAGAAGACTGAAAATCACTGTACAGAGCAAACCCAAGGGGCACGACTGGAACTCTCTGCCCCAAGCCAGCCCTGTAGAAGCTCAGGGGCTGCACTGACACTGAACAAAGCCAAAAGCACTCCAGAGGTGTCTTCTGGCAGATCTGAACACAGAGCCTGGCTCCATGTGCTCATCCAGGAAATCTGCACATGACTTCAGAACAACTCAAAGATTCAATCTTCCATGGGACCACTAAACTCAGAGGTCAGAAAAGCTGGCAGCAATTTTACTCCAGGACAGGAAGGCAGAGCCAACATCACAGCAAGCTCTGGAGTCTGAAACACCAGCTCACATCCCATCAGTAAAGCACATATTCTGACTTCTTACTTGGAGTAGAAGCCTGAAGGAACAAAAAGGCAACTAAAAATATATCTGTTTTATTTACCAGTTTTCTAAAAAGCAAAGTCATAAAAATTAGTCACAAGTGGCAAAACCAAAATATATTGCACAGTGTACAGAAAACATTGTTGACATGTTGACAAAGTGTCATCACAAATAAATCATCTTACAACAGTTTGGAAAAATTACAGCTTCAGAATCTTATCTATAAATGGAGGCATGTAGATTTAAAGTTACAGGAAAATATTTTAATACCACCCTGTAAATGCAAACACTTTAAGGATGCAAGATTAAGTCCATAAGTAAGCACATCCACAAAATGCTCTAAATATACTTTTCTCTTCCTTTCACTAAGTTATGGTTACAAGATGGTCATTGAAAAAAAAATAATAAAAGAAATGAGGAGAAATAAAAAGAGACATGGGAAAAAAAAAAAAAAAAGCATGCTAAAGCAAAGAAGTTCAAAGTGGTTGAGAAGTCTTCGAAAATTATTTGTATAATGATGATGCACTCCTTTTATATAAAGCTTTTATTTTTCCCAAACGCTGGTCCATGTTTGTGTTTTCATGTAAAAATGAAATATATTTAGTATGTTGGTATAGCTGCACTGTTCCATTTATGATTCAAACATTTAATACATCGGACGTGAACACCAACACTGGAAAATTTCTCATTCACTTTGTATTTACAAATATTTACGTTTGACCTTGCTGAACTGTTAAAGACAGGCATCAGGTCTTGCTGGGTAGTGCTTCATTTAAAATACTTATTCATTCTTTAAGATTGTGATTCTGCTTGTTTCACAAGCTGACACACTTTGCTACCTGCAGAACCTGTCTCCAGTGCAAATTTTCCAATTGATAACTAGTTACTTGAAACAAATTATTTCTTCTGCTAAGCGAATACCAGTCACTTTTCCATGTTTTTGGTGCTAGATCTAACTTCACATCCTCTCTGTATAAAAAGATAAATATTTGTATAGAATGAAAATAACCTTAAATTTCAGGGAATAGAAATGTTATCCTACTAAAAAAGGAAATGCTTCCCATGAAAAATATTTTAAGACAAACATATCGAAGTTAAATTCAATTAACTTTCGTCACTTTTCACACCAAGATTAACAGCTGACACCGGGCAATGCAGCAACTAAACTGCTTTAAAGGACTGAATGAGCCCTTTAACTACCCAACACATCAACAGTTGTTCTCTCCCGTTCTCTTCCCACATCCAACAGACATAAACAGCACAGGAACATAAAGTACACACATTCCAGTCAATACAATCGCAGAGGCATTAAAATGAAATCTTCCACAGCAAAGGATTCCAGCCACGCTAAATTTGACATTATGTAAATCAAGTAGAGTGAGTCAACACTATTCTCAAAATAATTTCTTTTTTATAAGAACTATCTTCAAATGACAAGACACATCTAATTCTCTCTTGCCACATACAAATTTGATGTTTGTTTAGCCACATTGGAAAAACTGATGGCCAACCTCGTGGCAGAACACGTCAGCAATAAAGGTTAAAGTTACCCCAAGGTCTGTCTAACAGCCACTGGAGCGTGGCCAGTCATCCTCTGTGGTCTTAAGTTTTTAAAATCTTTAAGCATAAGGATTTCTTGAGTAAAAATTTCTCAGAAATTATGCTTCAAGGTAATGAACAGTTCATAGTTTTGCAGTGTCCATTTACATAAAAGGCTACAAAGTTGTCTGCAGTCCTCTGTACTTACACATCAACATGAGCTTTAATACCAGACCATCTTATAAAATCAGCTCAACGTTCCTCTTAGACAAGAGAAGCTCCTACATTCAAGACTAGAGGAGACAAACAAAGAGGATGGGATCAACTGGTATGAGAAGGGCAAGTCTGAATTGATTTCCTTGAAGGTTATTTCTTCTACTATGCTGGACCACTTCAAATATTAAGAACAATGCTAAAGAGCCACTAACAGAATTGCTCAACAATTTATGATGCTGAACCACCACCACCACCAAAAGGAGATTTGAAGAACCGTATGTATGTGAGATTTTCAGCACTTCTTAACCCACTCTACAAAAACAGTAGGCATCAATGAAAGTTTCTATAGTTTATAAAGAAATACTTGAGGCATGTAAGTGCAAAATGAGTCTTTTAAAGAAAAGCTATACCATCTTCAACAATGTCCTTACTGGGAAGAGATTGCCACCATTTAAAAAGAGATTCATTCACAAATGACTCTTCTAGAGCAAGAAAAACACATTTGCTTTTATGAACTGCATTCATCCAGCTGGATAAAAGATGAAAACCTTTGTGGATCCTTCACTATCGTTTTGAAGCAATTTTCAAAACAACAGGCTCAAAGGCTACGTTTGTTCTTCATTGACTTGATTCAGGGAAACCAAGTTGTTTTCTCCACTATCTTCAATCATTTCATTAAGGTCCATTTCATGGATTTCTTCATCATATGATGTATAAAAATTGCTCTGTATATTGTCCTCACAAAAAATACATTCCTAAAAAGCAAAAAGGAATAGAAGCACTCATAAGTAAAGTATTTCCAAGCAGCAGTCCACCTGCATGCAATCCTTGATTCCAAGAGAACCTTTCCACCTGTGCTGTAGCTGTATTTTACCCCACAACTTTTCCACAGCCCATGATTTTATAAAGTGCAATACATCAATGCAAGTCCACAGATCACAATGTGGGTGCTTGTAGGATCAGTGCTGTAGTGACATTAGCACCACAATTAGGATTCCACTGCAATTCCTTCACACTGACTTTTGAAACACTCATGTGCAAACAGAGCCTCTGTGTTTGACAGCTTTTGTGCAAAAAAAGGCCACAAATTATAGAAAGCTTAGGGAAAAGGAAATGCAATCAGGTATTTGTGTGTGAATAAGTAAAATACACACACAGCAAATGAAATTGCATGGATGCTTTGTTCTGTTGAGGTTTTTATTTTTATTTTTTCCTTTCAAGCCATTAAACTACTTAAAGGAATCATAATCCTGAGTGAGAAGTCTGATAGAAAAAAGGATCTGTATACTGCCATTCATTTTGCACTCTGAAAACAATGGGCATCCATTTCTGCACATGAAATAGAGATTTTTATGTAGTGAACTTTCTGCTATGTTGCTAAAGCATTTCAAACAGAGACACAGAAATTCAGAAAGAGGAAGGAAATTTCTTGTACTGTATTTACCTGTACTTCAATTTCCTCCATTGGAAAGAAGATTTATGCTAAATTGAATCAAGCTAGAAACCACTGCATAGAAGTTTGAATTTCTTTTTTTTTTTTCTATGCATAATTGACCAAGCTTTCATAGCAACAGGAAAGGAAGAGTCTAACACAGGCAGCTAATAATTTAAGCACTATTATACATGCAAAAGTAATTAACCCACTAAACTTACAGAATTAGCAACAGTTTTTGGCAGTCCACCTTGCTGAATCCATGGATGAACTTCAATAAGCTCTCTTTTTTGTTCTTCTGTAAATTTTGGCTGTAGTTTCTGCATTTGCTTTAATTTCTGCTTATCTTCCTTTAAAACTGTTTCCAAATCCCTAAAATAAAACGTATTTAGAAATTGAGCTTCATCAGTTTCTGGGCTTCATGCCTACGTGAGGTTACACAGTCAAATACTAACATTTTTAAAGACTAGTTTTGTTCCAGAATGTTATGCTTAGAAATCTTATATTGGAAGAAAATGAAATGTGATTACTCCAGCTGCTCCCTGCATTTGCAGACATCTCTGCTGGCTCATGTCTTTTCAAATCCCATCAGTGAGAAGAGTTTTCTTAGAGCAATTCAGGCAGCACCACCAGTGAAACGAGCAAAGCTCCAGTTTCCCTCTGCTGCTGATCCAAGCCCCCTTCAGTGGGAGGAGAACCCAAAGCAGACACTTGATGCACAGGAGACAAAGCAGGAGTAGTAAGATGTGTAAGATATGTTAAAGAAGGTCACCAAGAATGAACTAAACTTTAGAAAACAGCTCTATTCCAGCAGCCAAGATTCTCTCTCCCTCCAAATGCCCCACCTCCATTCAGGAACCTACAAAAACCATCCCACAGCAACATTCATAAGCTGTGTCCCTCTATAAAAGACAACAATAGAAAGCAAGCTCCAAGAAACCCAAAATAATTTCTTTTCCTTACAGGGTACCTGAGAACAGGCTGGATTTACACTTCACTTTGCACTCTGACAATGAGCTTCACTCTTCTTACCAAAATATCCTGCTCTTTGGCATGCTTTGCTGCTTTTATGGGCTACTGCAATTCCAACCTGAGACTGTCAACACTTCAGACTACAAAAACTGAGAAATGTCAAAGTATTTTTAAAACTAGAAAAAAAAAGCTAAAGTTCTTACAATGTATTTACTTTCCCCATCGTGCCTGTGCTTCTGTATTTTGAAAGCTTGTTTACCTTCCCTTTCAAAGCCCTGTCTTTACTGAAACCTCCACTTCTTCTCAGAACACCATTCACTGCTCCCAAGAAATATAAACAAGTAGGGAAAAAAATAATCCAGACTCGTCACCCCTTCTTTCCCTATATCTGCTCTTTGCTACTGAAGTAGTGAGGCTTTTAATTTTTTTTTAAAAAAGTTTATTTTATGAGAAGCCTTATGACTCTTACCTTCTAATTCCTTCTCCTATTTTATGTTGGAGAATGAACACATGGAAGTTAACAACTGAGAAAAAAAAATCCCCAAGTCCAAGAGCAGCATTCCACTGAATGTGGCATCTCAAGGACAAGAGCCAAGGACTGGAGATCTTCCAGGCCAGACCATGTCTAGATCTAAGCACATTCATCAGGGATTTCTGGGCAAGTAGTAACAAATCACTAACTATGGAACAGCTTCCAAAAAATACACACAGTTCATTTCAGCTCAGGAAATTGACCTAAAAATACCTAATAGCTAAAAAATAGCTAAACCTAATTAAACAATTTCTCCTTCTTGAGAAGTTCTTGTGTAGTGTACAAAACATATAAAGGAAGCAAGAATTTTTCTTGACACTGAGCTAAACATTAAAACCAGTTTATTTCTGCAGAGAGAGAGATTCCTATACATCTTTCCTGCTGAACATTCTGCCTCCCCTGAACAGAGGGTGTGTGAAGGGCTGTGCCACTGGCATTACCGGGAGGGGATCTGGTAAGTCATCATCACTGTGTCATCCGTGTTGGCCATCAGCAGCCAGATGGGATCCTGCAGCACATACTTGATGAAGTGCTCGCTTTCCTCCATTTCTGTCTTCATTTTGGTTTTATGGTGATTCTCTGAGGAATCAATGCTGCCAAAGTATTTGCTGGTGTGACTAGTTTCACTGCTACCTGTAAACAGAGATTTAACTTTTCATTACAGATTGTCCAATACATGGATTATCTCAGTATTTCTGAGTGTAGAGAAGATTAAAGAGAACTGAATGTATAAATACAACCACTACTCTACTTCTTTTTTTTTTTAAACAGGGGGAACTTCCACTCTTGAGTAACTGCATTAATCTTCTAAAAACTCAAATTCTTAAGTAGAGTCTCTATTAAATTTCAACAGAATAATTAAAAGTTTTAAATGAACATGAAGGACTATGGTCTTTTTATTATTCCTTTATACCTCCATAATATCTTAATGCCTGTTTTACACACACTTAGAAAAGGTTCTGTTCTGTAAATCAAGCACAACAGAAAAACTTTTGTGTAATGCAGTAAGAAAGAAATCAAGACTAAACTATGCAACAAGGAGTAAAGACAAAGCTTTTCACTTGCTGTTCATGGTGTTTGCAATCCCTCAAATTGCTCTGCAATGCCAGGAGGGTTCTGGCTGCCTGAGTTACCTGTTCTGCTCCCTGACATGCCACAGCCATTGGACCCAGAGCCCAGGGACTCAGCAGCTGCAGACACACCACTCCCTGAAGAGGCTGAGCCAGTGCCTGAACACGCATCCTCCTGCAGTAAAATGTCAAGCAGGACACTGGACATGGAGAGCTCATCGCTGTTTTGAGCATCCATTGGAGATTCAGCCTAGGGATGAGGAGAAAAAATAAAATGAAAAAACCCAAACACCAAAAATCAAAGCTATTTATTACTAAATGTAATAGCTTTGTTACTTTAAATTAATAAATTCTCAGAAATTATGCTTCAAGGTAATAAACAGTTCATAGTTTTGCAGTGTCCATTTAAATAAAAGGTTACAAAGTTGTCAGCACTTCTCTATATTTACATCAACATGTACTTTAACCCAAGACCATCTTACAAAATTAGCTCAACATTTCTCTCAGAAAAAAACTTTTCCTACATTCAAAACCAGATGAAACAAAGAGGATGGCATCAACTGGTATGAGAAGGGCATATGAGACAGGCTTTATTTATTAATACATTTATTACTAAATGTGATAGCTGTATTACTAATCATGTAAATGATTAGTAATAAATCCATTTCACTTCATATTCTAATATTCAAAGACAGTCACCAATAACATATGCCAAGGAATAATGAATGGACTGACAGGGCAGTAAGACCAACTGAATTTCTCTTCAAAAAATTAATAATATAATTTCATAAGAAAGTAAGTGCCCTGTTCACTTTGGGCAGCACTACTGTCCTGGCCAAATCAGATTTTACCCAAACCACTCACAACATACTAGCAATTTCTCCTACTGTAATCTACCTCAAAGGATTTGCAGCAACATCCCTCACTGTTCCACCTCCTCGAGATGAGAAGGAAAAGTGCCATTAAGAGTAGTAAGAAAATCTTCCCAGCTGCTTCCCAGGCAAGATCATTATTTGTATATTTTTAAGGGAAGTAGTATTAACCACACTAATTTTTAACCTAATCAAAACTTGACTGCAAGTCAGTTTGAAGATTAAATATTAGCAATTAACGCTGACAGAACTTAGCAAAACATGTAATAATGGAAAGAACTGACTTTACCCTGAACACATTCCTGAATAATGGAAGGAGGCAACCAAAAAAAGATACAGGATGCAGCTCCATCCCATCAGCATTTACAACTATACTCTATGGTGCCTTTAGAAAGCACAAATAATAGTTTACGTATATCTACCATGGAAACCTTTACAGACATATTATTCCATCTCAATTTATTTATTAGACTGATTTCTCAAACTGAAATGAGCCAGGAAATAAAAAAATCCTGAAGTTACCAAATAATTCAGCAGTTTTAGTGCAACAAACAAAACAAAAATAAAGTCATGGTCTGCAAGAAATGATGACTTCTTCATTTACTTTGGTTGTTTGTTTGTAAACACAGATGTGGTTTTAATTTAAATCAGCTTCTTTCAGAACACTTACAGACTGTTTTTCCCATCCACACAAATTCAGTAGCACAAAAGTTTTTGCTAAAAATAAAGTGTCCAACTATTTTAGTTTATTTCAGTGGTTTTCAATGGGCTTATCTATATTCTTATTTTCTTAAATGAAATGGAACAAAACTCTTCAGGGTACATTTCCAAGCTTCCTAGTGGTAACTTTAGAAGAACGATCAGGTAAATTTAATTTTTAAGGGTTGAGTCAATTCTAATGTTTGGACTTCACATTTTGTTCAGTTTGCTGAGGTCTGAATTTACCCGCTACACTGTGAGTCCAGCTCCAGGCATCCTATAACTTCTGCCTATTGCTGACAAGTTGCCCTGGAAGAGAAAGGACTGGAAACGCTGCAGCAGAGCCAGGAGAAGGGGCACGAGCCAGACTTACAGGTAAGGATTCCTTGCCGCTGCCGTTGTCTGCTGCGCTGATGTTGCCCATGGCTCCCTCCTCAGCCAGAGCTCCGTGTAAGCCCGCAGCTGCTCCGCTCTCCGCAGTTTTTGTGGTTTCTTCCAGCTGCAGGAGGTTGAGAGGAGAGCTGCACCTGGACTGGAACAGCGGTGGGGAAGCCTGGTCCTGAGGAGCCGGTGACTGCGGAGTGCAGGAACGGGAGGGGTCGTTGCGGGGCTCGGCCACCGGAGCCCTCTCAGTCTCTGCTGGGCCGTTGTACTGGAATGGCTGCGCCGGGAAAAACGCCTGCTGTGGGAAGGGGCTGGCCGTGGCAAAGGGGGGCTGTGGGGGGAACATCGTCTGTGAGGAGAAGGTGGGATGGGCAGGGAAGTTGGGCTGGCCGGGGTAAAGCGTTTGAGGTAAGTTATTGTTCATCTCCGGGTACATGTAGTTGGGCAGCACAAGAGCCACCACGGGGGTCATGAAGGGTGCAGAGAACTGGGATGGCCCCACAGGACAAGCGTTTGCAGAGTCTGGCAAGTGACTGAAGCCAGAGAGAGAAGTCTCGGGAGCCGGTGGCACCGCCCCTGCTGCTGGGAAAACGGGAAGAGAATAGGCGGGCATGACAGTGGGGAAGGACACTGCTGAGTAGCTGGCTTGGGACGTCTCTGATGGTGACCAGGCTGTGGCATTTAAACCCTGGAGGGGGAAGCGGTGGGGGAATTTAGCTCCAGAAGTTGTGCTGTCCGAAGATTCCTGCGGTTTAATGCGTTTCGATTTCCTGTTCTTTCCGCTTTTCTTCCAAGGCTGATCCGCTCCAGAAGTGGCGTTTCTTTGTCCACGGCCACCTGCAAAAGGAAAAGTTGTAAGAAAGGTTATAAAAATACAGCTATACAGGACCTGTAGAACTATTTAAATTTAAAAATTAAGATAAAAATCTGAAAAAAAAAATGCTTAGCGGTGTCTGACTTCTGTTCCAAGTCAAGACCAAAATGAGAACAAAGACAGATCGTATCAAGCACTTCTAAAAATGCCATCCAGAGCTCCTAGGCCTAATAAACAAAACAATTTCACTACTACTGCTAGTCTCTGCCATTTCCATCCTGCTGATCACATTATTACCTTAAAGGCAACCAGACAATTATCAGATTGTCTCACCAATTACACAACAGTGGAATGGGGAAAACTGGAAAACAAAGGAGCTGCAAACAAAACAAAACCACAAATCTGAACAAAAAACAGATGGCAAGACAGAAGGAAAAGAAAAGCATGGAAATACAAGCAGAGATACAGTAAAGCAAACATTCTAAAGCAGGTTTTTTTCTCCCTTGAGAGTAGATGCATGACAGTTCATAGTATAGAGAACAGACAAAAATCAAAATATTAGTTACTAAAATGTCCACTGCGACACTAAAAGCAGTATGCCACTTTAATCTTTTAACAAGATTTGTCAGAAATTTTTTCTGTGGGTTTTGAAAATAGCATGCAAATGTTACTGTTCACACTGGCCCCACAAACCCACTAAAAATGGAAATGCCCTTCCAACAGGATTTACTTTCTGTATAAATACAAGTTTTATGGTGAAAACTATTGCCATACCACGTTCAGCAGGCCGTCCTTTTGGTTTATCTTGTAAGTAGTAATTACAGTGCGATTGAAAAATATTAAATCTCTTTATTTCTTTGAATTTGTTCAAGAAGCTCTGCTCCTCTTTTTGTGTATGCACTGCAAGCACCTCCTTTGTAAGTCCCAGTTTTTTAAATGGCTCCTTCTCTTGATTTATGTGTGCAGAACTGGATGGAGGGGCAAGAAGTTGGCCATCTATGACTTCTGCTCCACTTGGACCATCTTCTATCATTTCTACAGGAAAAGAAGGCAAAATACTCAAGATGAAGCAAAGAAACCCCTGTACATGCATTTTTAAGGTATTACGATTCTGTAATAATTTTGCTGCAAGTTTAAGATTACACATTCCATCCCTATTTATTTCATTTCCTAAGACCATCTTGGCTGTAAGAAAATTTAAGTCATGAGCAGACATCAGCTGTTCACATGTCTGAAATTAATTTGAACTTGCTAGCACTTGCCATCTTGAAGAAAAAATATTAGCAAAATCCTACCTAATTCAGGTTGTGTTTTTTTGTCTCCAACGTGAACAATGGTGCTACTGTAGCTGCACTGACTGGTGAGAGACACAACACTTTCAGGCTTGCCAGGTAAAGCCAAAGATGTTAAGTGAGCACCAACCACTGGGGGACCACTTGATTTACCAGATGCCTTCAACACAGCAGGATCTGTTAAAAGAAATAAAGTTGCAGCTTACTGAACATAAACAAGAGCAAATTCAAGTTACATGCTGCTAGGGCTGCAGAACAGTAAAGGTCAAACTGTGCTTGACAAGACAAAAAGTGAACTTTTTACTTCATACATTCCAGGAATAGAATGACTGTGGAGCAACAAATGCAATCCTCTAAGCCCATATACAGCCAAACCAAACCTTTTCAATAAAGGATATTGTCCTCTTTTTCTGGTCTTCACTGTTCTTTCATGGCACAATTTTGGAAGAAATTTTCTAGCCTCTTCCAGCCCAAAAGTAAGTTGCCCCCAGCTCCCACAGTGTTGTACACAGATTCTTTCATTAGCTGGTTACTGTAAGAGCTTTGTTTTGAGCATCCAGCTATTTATAATTCTCTCCCCTGAAAGCTACACACAGTAATCCAGCAGAGGTCAGAGCAGTGCCTCACAAAACAGCATTAAAACATTCCTCCTCTCATAGGAATACTTCCATAACACATACTCAAGATCTAAAGTTTGCCTTTTTTCTGACTGGTGACTTCATCTGTCTCAGTTGCCAGTGCAGCAAAGAGCTGGTGACCCACATAATCTCCTGCTAACCAGAACCACAGAGACTCCAAATTACACCATTTCAATCCCTGCTGTAGGACTCTTTGTTCCTGGTCTACTGATACCTTCTAATTTGATTCTAAAAGCTGCATTGGAACTTCTTTCTGAAGCTCATCAAATAGCCAAGATCATTCCCACAACCAATTTTTGAACAACTCCACTGGACACTCTCCCTTCAGCCTCATTTTAGCGACAAGACAGAATGAGCAAATCTCTCATTTGCATGCAGTTCTTTACCAATCCCACAGTCCTTGGACTAACCAGTTACAAATCTTCATCTAGTGGCCCATCAAGACAAGGGACTATGTCCAAAGCTACATCTAAGGTCTAAAAAATTAACTGAATGTTTCTGCCTGCAGCAGACTTTTTAGACAGCTTGCCTCAGTAATCCCCAGCTTTTTGTCTTCATGGATGAACAATAGGTTCTAACATCTTACAAAACAGAACAGTCCAATGCTGCATTTTTCCTTCTCTGGTTCCTTTTTTTTTAAAGCAGAAAAGTAATATGCATATTTTTGTTGCAATTAATTAGCTGCTATGTTCTTCAGCTGATTGTTCTTACAAGTCCTAAATGTGAAATGAACTTTATAATGATTCAAGTCCTGAACTTCAAAATCCTACTGTGTTTTGCACAGTACAAATTAGTTTATTGCATCTACAATCCAGATATGCATATGCATATGATATTTTATGCATCAGTATTTTAATGGTAAGGAAGATATTAATGATGAAAGTTAAATCACCCACATCAAACATTGAGAAAGAAGCTATGAGGTCATGCCTAAGATACACTTGTCAATATTCTGCAAAGAAGTGGCATCCAACTGCCTGCCAGCAAAACCCAGCTATGAAAAAGCTGTGATGTAGTTACCTCCCAATGGCTGGATAGAATTATCAGCTGCTTTTTGTTCATGAACTCCAGAACTCAGTGATGCAACACTTGTTGAAGGCTCACATTTTCTTTTTGCTGTACCAGGCACATTACAACTCTCCAAGTACCTAAAATACAAAGATTTAGCAATATTAGACATTCTTGTCCTGTGTCCACAGGTCAAGAGTAATTTACTCACAGGTTGCTCACCTGATGACACTGTCCAAACAGCTGATCTGCTGATAGGAATACACAGGTTGTTCTTTCCAAGCCAGCTCTTCAGTAGCCACATTTTTTGGAGCAACTGTTCCTGCAGTATCCTTTCCCCCTACACCTTTCACCTGAGCACCAGCAGTATTCTGTTTTTCTGTGGAAAGAGATACTGCTATTATGCAACTAAGACATTAAATCCTTACAAACTCCCCTAAAACAACAGTAGTAAAGGTTTTTCATTTCTACACGTTTAGCAGGTCACAAATTAACCACTGTAATGCGCCAATAAATAAATAATATGTAAACATTTTCCTGTCTTTATGGGTGCTTGGAGTTATAAAGTTTAATTAGATATGGATCCAAAGGGAATAGACACTATGGCTGTAAGAGAATGTATATCATTAGGGTTGAAACACACACAGGATGAGGACAACTCTAGTGTCCACTTAAATTATTTCAAGACAACAGCTTTAGGCCACGTCTTAATTGTGTTACATCACTATTGATTCAATACAGCCAAATACAATATTTTCCTGGGCACAGCAGAGAGACACAGGACAATAAAATCTGAATTGATAAAATGCTGTCTTTATGCACTGAACAGAGCTCAACTAGAAAAAAGTCCTGCTGTCAAAAAAGCACCAAAGCACCAGCGACTAAGAACTGCTCATGTCTTACCTGCCAAAGACTCTTTCTTGTAGTCCAGTTTTGCTTTACTGTCAGTGAAAATATGCTGTCCTTTATTCTTGACCTTACGGGCATATTGACAAACCTCCTGAAAGCAGTTTGGGAAGAACAGTTATTTCAAAATTTTGACACAAAACATTATGCATAGTGATTCCTCAGTAGACTAAATCTAACCTCAGTTAATCTCTATCTTGCAATTAGTTTGATCACAGGAGAAATATGTATATATACAATTTTACTGTGCAGCTGCAGAAATTGGAAAGAGAAGAAATTTAAAGTATGTTTCCTGTAAACAATTACTCTGCATTTCTTTTAATCTGTTTGAATAACTTGGATAGGAAAATATAAAATATCCATTACAATGAGGACTTCAGGAAAAAAACAAATCTATCACTTGGTAAAAATACTAGAAGTCTAACCAAGCAGTGACTGGATGTTACAGAACTGGAGTGTAACAGCCTTCACTGTCTGTGGAAATAGTGAAGGAATGCCAGGCATCTATTTCCCTGTTAAATAAGAAATCCTGAGACTGCATCTACTTATTCCACCAGTGTTTAAGAACTGAAAGCCAGGAAAGTGACCACCTTGGCAAGAGCAGCAGTCTGCAAAGTCTGATCACAGAAGCACAAATCAGATCTGAGAGAATTAGCCTATAAGCAATAGAACTTATCAAGGAAATCTTCTGGCTTTCAGAATTAAACACAAAGTAAAGTTCTAAGCACAAACTATAAAATTGCTTTATTCCATTCAATTTATTTCGTTCTGTATAAATGCTGTATTTTTCCAACATGAAAAGCGATCAGGGTCAAGCTACCCCTTGGTTATGCAGGTATTACTGCATTTAATCTTCTTATTTTCATTTGGGAAAACAGTAATTACAGACTTTCCCCTTCCAAAAGAAACTGCTTTCACATATCTGGCTGGTTTTCCAAGAAACACAGCATGTAACACATAACAGACATTAGATTCAGTGAACACACTGCACAGGTTTAAATTCTCTATAACACTGGCTTTCATGTCTATCACTGATGCTTCAGTACCCTGAGGCTTCATCTACACCAGAAATGCTTATTCCCTCAGACAAAAGGGTTTTTCTACATTAAACAAAAAAAGAAAGATGGCACTTTCTTCATCCTTTCTCCTATTTCTAATTTGAAAACATTATTGTAAAAGTTAAAAATCTCCACGTAGTTTGTTTTGTGCCACATACTCGAATGAGAAAAATTAAAAACCTACTGGTTTATCCTTATGAGTGTCTTCATTATTATTTCCTGTGCTGTCACTGGAGGATGCCACACTCATCAGGTGCTCATGTGAACCATTGCTACCCAGACTTCCATAGCCACTGGATCCACTGTTGTGTACAGGCTGTTAACATAAATAAAAAAATAAAATATGTATGTATGTATAGTATGTATGTATACACACACCCCCCTCAGGACACCAGTAATTCCATGTCAGGAAAAGTGATTTTATTTTACACCGGGTTTTTTGTTGCTTTGTTTTTTTAGATTTTTTCTAGGTTTTTTTTTTGTCTGTTTGGTTGGGGTTTTTTGTTTGCTTGTTTTTGTTTTGGTTTGTTTTGTTGTGGTTTTTGGGCCTTCTTTTGTTTGTTCGTCTGGAGGACTCCACAACTACACGAAATTCTTAAGGTATCAACTGGAGCTTTAACATACTTCAGTAAGTCCTGTCTGGTACTCATGAATGCAAGGAGCCCCTAGGACTGTAGGCAACAGTACAGCAGAAGCAGCCAAAGACAATGTGACACCAAGACAAAGAGGCTCTCCCCAGCAGGACGGAGCAGGGAAGGAGCACAGCCCGGCTGTACCTGCAGTAGGAGCCGGTAGATCTGCTCCGTGATCTCCTGAACACTGGGGTGCAGGATCCTGTCCTCTGTGTAGTTGGGAGCAGCAAAGACATCTTCATTTAAGGGACCCCTGCACAAACCAAACACACACCAGCTCACTGCAAATGCAAGCGTTTCAACCACAGAGACCACATTTCAATTTACCACCCACATATCCTACACAGAATCTAATGCTTATTCTGTCCCCTCATCTTAAGGATCTCTATGTAAACCCAAAGGAAGGGAAAATAAAAATATTCTGACTTACGTCCTAACTTTGTGTCTCCCAATAATAAAAGAAACTTTTCGACTCCAGGGGTTGATGAAACTGGACCAGCTGGTGTCCATGGTGATATAATCTCCATTCCTAGTGCAAAACCTGATTGGTGAATAGTCAAAAGGCTGCCCTCCATACTGAAGAACTGCAATGAAGGATTCAAACAAATTTCAGATTAATGTTTGCGCAATTCCATGTAACAATTCAGGATTTTACAATGAACTGCACATTCATGAAGGGAATGGACACTCAATGTACTTCCTCTTTATGGAGGAAGATGACACTTGAGGGAGCAGATACTGGGTACACTGATACATTTAGAAATACTGAGCTACCAGAATAAACAGATCTTCATAATTTACTGGGCTATGGTCAAGAAAATCACCTTTAGAATACAACAAACTAAAGAAGGCTGAAGAAGTGACTTTACAAACTTTGCCACAATGACTATTATTTTCTTCTCCATGAAATAAGAAAGACTATCATGTAAGACATGACAACTTCTATCACACCATTCTCATACTTTAATACTTTTTAATTAATTTTGTAGATTTCATACTTTTATGAAATATTCATTTGTAGTCAATTTGTTTACAAATTGATATGTATGCTTCTTAGAAACTACAAAACTGAGTGATTTCTCATTTTCATGGATTTGCATTAAGAATCAAATTGTGCAGTAAAAGATTCAGTATTTACTTGTGGAAAAAAATCGAAGTCACAATTAAGTTTCTCCTACTGCTTGATAAGGTCTTTGTAGTCCTTATAAAGAAGTTAAAGAAAAAAAATTTATTTCTGCACAGTAAGAAGTTACATACTTTTTTTGTGAATTGCTAGCATTAAGGGTCTGTCGTTTGGGTGAAGATGCACCAAGACTGGTGTTCCTATTAAATCCTGAGGTAGGTATCCCAACAGAGGGACTGCTCTGGAGAAAGAAAGACAAAGAAAACATAATAGTAAAATCAAATAGAATAAATGTACATTTCATGTTTGAAATGTTTTCATTTTAAGCTTTCTTTGCTGCTTTTCCTGTGAAGAGAATGAATAATTTTAAGTTTACATTTGGTGAAAAAGCAGTGCCCAGTTAACAAGTCATACATCTAGGGCAAGGGAGGCTTTGTTTGTTTGTGGGGTGGTGGTTAGACCAAATCAAGGAGTCTGCTACAGCAGTTCTCGCTTGTCTCTCTTGCCTAACTTTAGAGGATAAATACTTACACCAATTTGAAAAGAGCATTAATGAAGTTTTACCAGATTAAACTCTCATGAAGGTAAATAGTACCCCAATCCCTTGGCTGGGAGCCATGGCTAAGGATCACAGGATTACCACAGCTGAACTAGCACCAGGGGAGCTGACCAGCACTCAAGACAACTTTCTCACAGGCAGGTGAAGAGTTCAGCTCAGAGGAGCTGCAAGGGAGCAAGCTTATTAACTAGAGAATAAAAAGCAACGGTACTGAATTCCTGCACGTTATCCATGACCACTTCTAGTGATGTGAAAAACTAATTTATGTGACAAAACAATTTTTATTGATCACTTCAAGCATTTGCATTAAGGATAAAGAGTGAAAGTTCACAAATACCAGTCTGCACCTTACCCTGAAGGTTAACCACTGCAAACGTGCTTTGGAAAAAAAAAATATACTAAGTCAACATTGCTCAGTGATGTTTAAGTTTCCAGATGCCAGCAAGTCCTCTTGTAAGCTCAAAATGCTTTACATCTTCGCCCAGCCCCACTTACTGCCAAAGGCCCAGGGAGATATGAGAGTATCTGAACAGCTTTAATGAACAATTCAGCCCCAGTGCACCAGACAGGGGATCTGGGTCAGGTAGGAACTCAAAACCATCATGCAGCAAATGCCTTCAACACTGCACTTTCAACAATCCTCTGGAATTACATCAGTTCCCCAAAACATCAAACATACCCTTCCAGCAAAGAGGCTGAGCAGAGAAAGTGGATAGCAACTAATGCTTTATTATCAAAGCAATTAGTTTAATAATCAGTCTTAAAAGCTTGTAGATGCTTGTAAGCAACAGAGCAGAAAGTGGCATGGAACTCATACCAAACCAGATCACTTTGACACATTGACATTTAGAAGTGCTGCCAAGTTCAAAGCACATGAGAAAAGTTGTGCTGCTAGAGGACTTTAAAATCTCAGACAACTCCAAATAACTTCAGCCAGGTCTTCATCAAGTAAGACATAAGAAGGTTTTGTTCAGCACTGCTCCTGTTTGCCACCTGCTTTATGAAGGTCAGGGATCTAGAATGTGAGACTGAGCTTGCCTGCTCTGACGAAAAGGAAGCTAAAAGATAATCCAGGAACTTCCCACACTGCTGGAAAGAGGAGTTACAAAAATGGAGTTAAATTTTCTTGATGGTGCCAGACAATAAAAGTACGGGCAATGGTCCCAGACTGGAGTCTGGAAAGCTGATGCTGGATGTTAGGAAAAGGTTTTTAACAGAGTAGAGCAGGTTTCCCATACAGACTGTGTCATCTCTGTCTCTGAAGGTTTTCAGGCATTACTGAGACAAGGCCACAGTTGACCTCAGCCAGGACTGGGCAAGGTTTCATTCCAAGCAAAAGGATGGAACCAAGACCTCCAGCAGCCCCTTCTAACCAGCCCTTCAGTGATCATATAATTCTGTATTTGAGAATGATATCTTGGCATCATTATGCTTCCTCATAATGAATAACTCATAAAAATTCAGAGGTTAAGTTAATAAATTAATTTTATAAATGCAAATACACGTGTGGCATAAGAATGGCTGATGAGGAGATGCTGCCAAGTTTCGTTTGTGTTTTATAGAATGACATTTAAAGTGCCAAAAAACATGAATAAGAAGTCTCTTTATATTATTATTGTAAGTTACACACGAAACTGCTTTAAATTAATTTACAAAGATCATTCCACTGTGAACTACTTACACCCATTAAACACATGAAGTATCAAATATATTAAGACAAATACATACAGGAATGATCCATTTAATTTCAAGAAAATATTTATTTTTACTTAACATACTCTGTGCAGAGATCGACCTGCAGAGTTCAGACAAATATGCATTTTTCCAACCCAAGAACACGTACTGATTACAGAAATTAACTTTATGCAAGTCAAGCAACGGTTTCAGGGTTATGTTATGAACAACACTCAGTCAACAGCAGGTGCCCAGTTGCACATTTTTAAATATTAAGACTGCTTTCTTTAAGAATCTCTTGCTTTGTGTAATTCCACCAAACCCTGGAGAGCTTTAGAGTAACAAACTGCATATGCATGTCTTGGTAAACATTTATCAGGCTGCCAATGCTCTCAGGAGTTAAATAATTAAAAGCAAAATCAACTATACAGTCACAAGAACAGAAATAAATGACACAGAGTCCTAATTTCGGGCCAAGATGCAATCAACCCTCACTGAAAGTGTTAGAAAATGGTATTTGAGAACAAGTGGTAACATCAAACTAACAGGAAAGAACCTTCCATAGGATTCACAAGGCAGGATTTACTGGACTTGCTGCACTCAAGCCCAAGAATAAGGGCAAGGCTCTCCACTCAGCAATTTTGCCATTTCTGTTAAAGGACTACTGGAGATCACTGAGCTGTGGATGCACAGAGGAACAGAAGCTTTGCACTGTGCTCTCAGCCTCCTTGTAAAGATAAACCCCCTCTGCAGCTGGCTTGAAGCATGTGTGGAAATGAAGGAGAGAGAAAAATCCATGAAGAAGACAGAACTACAGTGGATTAAGTACTTTTATGAATTTGAGCTGTTTAGAGGGACTGTATAAATCACAGCATGGAAAAACAGTTTGTCAGCATTACACCATCTATCCTACAGGAACTCAGCCACATCTGCCTCTCTACAGGTAAAACTGTCTCAGAAGTCAAGCAGTGTTCTTTTTACCTTGACTCCATCTTAGTCAAACATCACAATAACCTCCTTTCCCCAATCCCTCTCTCTTCTGCTGCATTTAAGAATTTTGCCAAGAATGAAGTATTTTTTTCAGAAACTAGAGTTCCACTCAAAAAATTCAACAGAATCTCAAAATTGTCCATTATACTCCTACTCTGTCTGAAGACATCCCCCCCATCTCAACTTCCAAAGAAAATTTTAGCATTCTTGGAATGCTTAAAAACAAATGGGAGAATCTCAGAAGTCAGATGTTACCACTTTAGCTAACTTAGTTTTTGCTAAGGAGAAAAAAAAATCACAATGAAGTGCCATATACAGCCCAAATATCAGAAACCATCAGAAAGAAAATATCAAGGAAAATGGAAAAGGAAGGGGAAAGCTAGTGTTTTAAACTCAGGAATAGGTGAATTCTCTTTTCAAGTCAAGTCCTCAAGGCTCAGGATTGTGTTTAATGTCTTTATCCATGATGTGGCCAAGGGGATGGAGAGCACCCTCCATCAGTTTGCAGACAACAGCAAACTGGGTGAGAGAGTTGATTCTCCCAGGGAGTAAGTGACAGGACAAGAGGAACTGGCCTCAGGGCAGGTTTAGAGTGGCTACTAGGAAACATTTCTTCATGGAAAGAGTTGTCAAGGAACAGGCTGCCCATGGAAGAGGTGCAGTCACCATCCCCAGATGTATTTAAAAATCTGCAGATGAGGCATTTAGGGACAGGGCTTAGCCCCCTTGATGATCTTAGAGATCTTTTGCAAGCTAAATGATTCTATGAAAGCTCAGTTTCGACCTCAGTTCCCAAGTCTTTGTAGATACATTAAGATCACAGGTGGCATTTTTGTTTCTAATTTAGAAATTAGAATTCTTTAGAATTCTTACCAGCTTTCATGACTGTCAAATCAATCAAGTCTTCAGCCAGTGTAATTTGAATTGTTTTTATATACCTTTTTTTTTTGAAGAGCTAATGTTGTATTCAAAAGCTGTACCTCGCTCTATACCTAGGCCAGCAGAGAGCAACAGCAGCATATTTGCTGAATCAAACTTAAAAAACCAAAAAACCCACACCTAAATGTCTCATACAGGTAATAACTGGCAGCACAGGAATTCTTTTGAACATGGGTTCATTGACTGAATTTATGTCCAGAATTTCCCAAGAGGGAAGGAAAGTGGAAGAACAAGTTGTTAGCAGGCACTTAAATACCAGTGTAAGGTGTTCTCATGCATAGTGAAAACGGGGGGATGTGCTTTTCTTAGGTTCAACACCCTTCAGTAGTTGCATAAGTTTTAACCCCCATATAGACACCCTAAATCCTGCAAAGACAGTGGATAAGTTGCTCATCAGTAAATTTAAAAAGAATTTTTGTAAGTTACCTTTCATCTACATCCTGAAACAAACAGGTCGGTGTGTGCGTAGTTGTAAAAATCCTTTTGTCAGGAGGAATTCTGGGCGCTGAGAGAAAAACAAAAGCACATTAGCAACTGGGGGTTTTACACACATAACACTCCAAGCTGCCACTCCAAAATCCTGGCTGAGAGCATACAGGAAAGCAGCAAGGACAGAGAATAGAAACTATTCTCTTTCATTTTAATGAAGCTTGAACACGTCTTACTTTTAGGAAAGCAAGCAAGTCTTTGTGCACTCATGAATTACCTTCATAACCAGAATGGACTTTTTCTGCAAGCAGCACACAGCAAAGCTGGTCTTCTGCTATTTCTGGATCTTGCACTTTGATAAGGTAGGGAGTCATCCGGAATGGGTGATAGCAAATCTCATTTTCACGCTCCTTTCCCGCACTAATAATTAAAGAGAGTTAATTATTTCAGCAGATTCATCTTACGCTGAATACAATTTTAATTTATCCATTGTATTTCCCTCATGACACAAGAACTGCATGTTAGCTACTAAAATAGCACCCAAGATCTTAGCTTGATTTTTTTTTTTTGGTGGAAGAGAATCTAATCTGATGGTATCCTTTGCATACCAACTTCCATAAAGATTGTGCTGTTCTCTCTACTGCCTGAAACAATAGCCACAACAGCATTACATGGAAGTCTGATAGAAAACCCAGCTCACACAATAAATTAAGTTACTTTGTTCTCCTTCAGAGGGATTAATTTACAGGGCTTTTTTATGAAGACTGCTATATCCCCTCAGTTAACACAAAGGTCATCTTTTAATCAATATTTATTCCAGTTTAGAAGCAGTGAAGACTCAATATCTAATAACAGATGTTTACTTAACCAGAATGCAAACACAGTAATGAAAACAACAACCATTTACACAGTGACCAAAGAAGAATCAGTTGTAATAAGTTTATAACAGCAGAGCTAAATAAAAGTAAAGCTGTGGAAACCAGTGTTAGTTGGACAAAAAATCTCTAGTAACACCAGCAGTACCTCTACAGTACATTCACTGCAACACTCTGGAGCTCTGCATTACCTCCAATTCATTTCAAGTTTATTCGTACCTCGATAATAAGTATTTATTTACTCCAGAAGTAATGAAATATTTGGATCCACAGTTTTTGCTTCAGAAATGATGCCAGAGAGGCAGTAAGCATCAAGAAATCAAATTGCACAAGAAAGAACATGAACTAACTTGCCAGCTTTTCCTAAATAATAAAAAAACCGCCTAAAACTAAAGAGAAGTGATTGGGGGGCAGAAAAAGAAGGAAGAAAAGCAAACCAAAGAATTGTGTCCTCTATTAACAGCAAAAGAGACAAGTCAAGTAACCCTTGAGTATCTTCCTAGGAGATACCGGAGATAAATTTGAATCACTGGTTTTTTAGAATGAAGAATACTGAAGCAGGTGCTGAACAGTTCTATTTACACGACCCAAAGGCTTTCCACTACAGGAGGAGATGCTGTACCACCTTCCTTTATGGCACAAAGGTCAATACTCAAAGGGATTAATTTCCAAGATGGAACTTCCCGAAATCAGTTCCGTTTTCTCTGTAGCTGCTACAGTTAATCAACTCAAGGATGTGCATGTGTTTTACTTTACCATCACATTATGAAAAAGCATGAAATGTTCAAAACATATGGTTCTTATAAAAGTCAAATACTTATGTAATGCTTGGTTTCATAACCAACACTAAGCTTTACAATATTGTCTTACCTGATGCGACAGAAAAAAGATTTCTCTTCCATGCAATCCTGGGTGGAAGACTCTAGAAATATTAAGAATATTTCATAACAAGTTACAAATTACTAGAAGATGATGATATTTAGTATAACAATTTTTCCTTAGATAATATATTTTTTTAAGATTAAGTTTTCCCTGAAGTCTCCATAAGCATTGGTGAAACAATAATTGGTTAAACATAAGCAACTAAATCTGAACATCACTCAGATTCTGAGGCTGGCATGTGAATCACAGCTCCTGGTTTATCAAGTCTTTTTCTTAAACATATCTAAACAGCTCTCCAGTTTGAGCTGCTTACTCTCATCAACTCTTTCACAGTACTTTATACCAATGACCAAAAATGTTTGGTTGCCTAGGACCCCAAATCTGACCACCAAATGCACTTCCTAGCACCCCTCCTCTCTTTTTCCTGAAGACCTCTTCTCATGTTTTAAGTTTATTTCTCTCCTTTTCCAGAGTAGCCACACACTGATTCTCAAGGGAAGCTCTGGCATTTCAAAGGGCCTCCAGTGCACAATGTTTTGGATATTCTATTGTTTGGCAGCTGATACATGAGAGAGTGTGCACACTTCTACTTACTGCATTTTTTACATTTGAAGCTGTACACAAATATAATAAAGAAGATGCTTCAAAAAAGCAAAAGCAAAAAAACTCCTGCCCAACTGAGTAATTAGGATTATACATAATTTACCACCGACTCTATTTTGAGCCAGAGGTTGCACTGGAGACCTCACAAGGTCCCTTTTGCCCTGCTTTATGTATGCATTGCTTAGCACGTGTTTACTGCTGATTGTTTTTTCAGATTAAATGCGGTTCACACCCTGGCTTTATTTCACAGATTTAGTATGCAGCAGATTGGAATTTCAAACATTCAGAGCAGACCTTGAATTTCAAGTGTTTAGTTGAAACTGTTGGCAGATATTTCTCAGTTACTAACAGCTGCAGGTACATGAGTAAAACAATCCTACCACAAACAAATATCAAGTGCCCTGAGACATCTGATCCTTCACCATTAATTATGCCTAATATAAATTTTTTTAAGGCTAGAAGAAGAGAGCTGTGATTACACTTGGTGAGTGCACAGTGATAACAGCTGAAATACCTTTTTCTACACCATAAGCAAGGTGTCTAGTATTCAAATCATAACCATTTTAAAAGGAAGGCAACAGAGTATTGTCCCCTTTACACTTGAGGAAGAGAAAATGTGAAGAAAAATGGTTTTCATTTGCTTGCTAGTACAAGTGGAAAGTAAATTCACCATCCAGCATGAATTCCTACTTTGTTTTCATTCATCATCTGACTGAAAGGAGAATAAGAACCGATAAATAATGACATTGAGAGGACTTTTAACCAAGAGACAAGTCTTGCTGATTTGTAGAACAGATTTGTACACCCCATGCTGTTCAGAGGTGTTCTAATAATGCCCCTGTGCTACACCCTCAAGAAGTGATGGGGAAGGGTGGAAGGACATTCAAAACCAGTCCAAGTATTTGCATTTACATGACTGCAAGAAGGTCAGAGAAGTATCTGCTGTTGAGCCCACTCACCAGCTCTATTGCAAATGTTCCATGATGGTAATCTGTATGGGGTGGTAGAAGTATAAAACACACTGACATCCTGAGGTGCCAAGAACTCCACAAATTTGGCATTTTTAAAATAGCCCCTCTTGCAGCGGAGAATAGAAGCAGCTTGATCAGAGATGTATAAAATTTTCCCAGTTATCAAAGAAACAGCTACAGCAAACATATCCTAAAGGAAAAAAATCTCAAATTATTTAGACTGTTTGAAACATTCTTCAGTGCAGCATATATTTCTGAGAAAAACATTTAAGATATAAAAACATTAGTAAGTTCAAAATGAGAATTAAGGACATTTAATGGTATTACAGATGTTGTTCAACACAATGAATCTGCTCATCAAGTAGACACAGAATATTTTTCAGTTATGTAGTAAGAATAATACACTACTGTTTACTGGGTTACAAGCTCTAAATATCATGGTCTACAGTTCTGTAATGCAGAATGAATTTATAAATTAAGAATTAATGACCTTCTAGCTATATAACTTCACATTTTCCCTGTGCTTGTTACAGACATGATTAACATGTATGAAATTCAGGCGTTTTTGAAAGGCTGTTTGTGTTAGCTGGTCCATCCACAAAAAGTGAAAAACGGGCTCTAAACCACTTGGTAAAAAATAATGAGTACACAGGTGGGAAGAAGTCCCACACACTTGTATTGTTTCTCTTCCTGCCACAGAGGAGCTCCCTGCGTCACAACCTCTAGTGCTGCATTCACAAACACTGCACAGGAACTGAAGAGCTGCCAGCAGAACACTGCTTTCACAAACAGATATTCACATTAATTGAACAATGTTTATGATATTTGGCTGAATTTCTCAGTTGTACTCTACACTTCCCATTTATTTCAACTTGTGGGCAGCCTTTACTATTCACAGATTCAACAAAACCCACCTACTTCAAGCTATGGAACATCCCCCACCATGGTCTTGTTTTAGAGAGTTCAGACTTCATACATTCAAACAGAAGTTTGTATGCTCAACAAAATAGTAGAAGGTAGTCTAATACATTTAGATGCCATTATTTTTTGAAGACTCCACAACTTATTCCTAAAATACTAGTAATATGGAAATAAATATAATTCAAAAAACCAGGTTATCATTTCAGTGCTAGAACTCCAGTGATGGTCCTAGCTGTTCTTGTCTCTATGAGAACACAGCACCACTGGACCCCACAGAAAGCCTGTACCAGTTGCAAAGACCAGACAAATCCTACAGAAAAGGACACAGTGATTCCAGTACTTTTGTCACTCTTCAGTCACACAAACACAAAACTGGTGAAACATCAAATAACCCTTAGTTATACAAATAAGCTGAAGTGATTCACCATGTGCCTCGACCAAAATTTGGAAAAAGTTAACTCTCCAACTTTTGCAAGTGCATTGCAATGAAACCTAATGGTGTCTCTCAGGGCTCTGTATCACATGGACACAGGGATGTCACACCAACACCTCCAGGCAGAAGGTACCATTCAGAAGATAACTGAGTTCAAGCCCACTTATATCCCACCTAACAACAGAAACACATTAGCAAAGTCTAAAAAGGCTCAGAGGTTCTCAACATCCCCTGGAAGGCAAAAGGCTTTGTGGCCTAGCTACCAACCCTTCCCTTGTAAGAAGGAGGCATGGCTAAGAATTCCAGTTCCAGGAAACATTTTCAGTACACACTGAGACTCAGGCCACCACACTCACCGCATTTTTCACGATGTATTCTGAGGTTATAGTCTCCACTTCTTCCACTGTGTAAGATGATACATTGAGACCAGCAGGTTGGGATTCATTAATCATCAACAACTGGTAATATTCCTCATTGGCTACATGAGAACAACAAACAATTTATAATCAGGATTATCAATAAACACCCAGCCCAGAAGGAGTAAATGGCAAAAATATTTTTTGGCATAAATGCACAAGTTGTGAAGTTGGCAGTTGGGAAATCTAGGCACTCTTCCAAATACATCATTTTCCCTGGTAGAGCTTCCTCATCAGTAACTCAAACAAAAGTACATCTCTTAATCTACCCATATATGAATGGTCATGTATTGTAGTCTGACAGTTCAAACAGTATGAAACTGTAAATTGTTTTCAAATCGATTTTCTAACTCAACCAAACAGCAGTAAAACATCAATCCTCTAGAGAGCTGCTTCAACTCCCAAAGGAACAAAAGTTAACAAAGCCAACAAATACGAACAACATGAAAATATCTGGTTAGGAAGGTTTTCAGCCATAGTACAGTTCTCTATGTAGAGCTATGTTTATTTAAACTCCTATTCTGAAAGTTTCACTTTAGCCAGGTTAGCATTATCTAGGCAGTATCATTACCTTTAACTTGTTTAATGCTTTTAAGGGCATATTTCAATGTTGTTAGGACACTGGATTTTCCTTTGACTCTCTTCTCAGAAGGAAGGTGAGCTTTCAGCTCCTGCAGTGTTTTCAGCAATTCCTTTTGTGTTTTGGCTTTAGTGGACTGCTCACTACTGTAAGACGAAAAACAAAAAACACAACATCACTTGAATGCTTGACGTGACACATCAATATCAGAGAAGCCCAAACGTACTCTGACTCTGGCACTTGTCACCCACATCAATTTCTATCACTAGCCTCATTAACTTTGCCAGTACTCACTCAGTATCAGTTCCAGAATTTAAAGAAATTCTTAGGTGACCATTTAAAATGAAATATTTACCACCACCTGGAATGTAATTGTAAAATGGACTCTGCAATAGTACATATGCCCAAGCACCACAGATTTTTTTTTTTTGCCACAGTCCCCCTCCTCCCTTTTTAGTGGTGTTTTCTTTAGCCCCTTTCAAAATCAAACTCAAAAATGCTAATGGACTCCAAAGGAGAGAAGCAGGAGGTCCATTCAAGTCTTCACCTCCTGTTCAATCAGGTTCTCTTAAGAAAGGTCCCTGAAAAGGGAATGGCAGTGGGAGAGCATCAAGTTAACAAAACAAATGGAGAAATCCTTTGAATACCGTATCCCACCTAAGCATGTCAACACTACATAAGACGAGGAAACTCTGACTAAATTTGTAAGAAAAAGAATCAGAGGAGGCTGGAGAGAGAAGCTGCATTCACAGGACTCAGGTGCATGTTCAGAAGAGCTGTCTCAGTGAAGAATGACAAACTGTACAGAGACTATTATTGCCAGTATCAGAAAGTTATCACCTTCCTTTTCAGTTCCTGGGACCTCTCCCCATTACTGAGAGGTGCTGATACAGTCACAAAGGAAGAGAAAAGGAGGAGAGGGAAGTGAGGGAGAGGGTAGCAAAGATGGATGGCAGATGGGAAGGAAGGAGTTTGCCTTGCCTTTCACATTGGAGATTTTAAAAGCTGATCTTCCACAATGATCAAGAGGATTATAAAGCTGCTCTTAAATCCTCCTGAAAAATTTTTCCCTTCCAAAGGAAGGTCTTCTCTTAACACTTGATTGTCATGGCTGATAATCTGTAAGAAGTTACCCTTGGCACTGCTGTGGAAACAATAGTCCTGGCAACTGCACTGCCTGACTGAAGCGGCCAGAAAAGCGGCTTCAGCTGCCAAGTAATTTTCAAGAGGATTTGTGAACATTTTTCTGAGAAGTTTTAAGAGCTTGAAAAGGTAGATAAATGATCTGACAGGTGTTGGGTGTATTTCACCAAAAATGCTTGCAAAGTGACAAAGCTGTACTAGAGAATACACATTGTTCTTGGTTCCATCACAATGCACTGTGAGACACGCAGCGTTCATTTACTCACTGGTCATTTTGTACCAAGAAATAATGGCAAGGGATCAAACAAAAGACTGTAGGACTCCCTTGGGAAACATTATGTTCATGCTGTGTATTAAAATCACGTGTACAATGTGGCTTGACAGCTTGGACTGCTGCAATCAAACAGGGCTTTGTTAACAGTTTCATAGAAGAACCCTTCATGCTGGCAGTAGGGAAAAAGAGAGAGGGAAGATTATGAAATAACTGAGCATACTGCTGGCTTGTACTGTCAGAGTATTGCTTCATGAGAGTGGTCAGATTCTTCTGCAAGGAAAAAAAACCTTTCCAAATTAGCCAACAGCAGCAGCAAATACAGAAGATGGACATTCTTGGAAAATAAGTTACACAACTCTAGAATGTTTTTCTAGAGAGCAGTAGCATCAGGCACAGCAGGCAGCCACAGGGAAGGTGTGACTCGCAGAGGACAGAATAAGCAAGTTTATAAAGCTAGGAGCTTTTCATTTTGCTTTTTGTAGACAGCAAACTGGAAAGGTACCTACAGATATTAAACTAGAGCTGTTGGTTGGCACTGATACTGAATGCAAACCCCAGTAGGGTACTCTGAAGTGTCTAAATATGAGCCTTCAAGCTACCAGGCTCTTCAAGGCTATCAGGGACAAAAGCAGAGTTCATACAGAGGGATTCATTCCTGCAGCTGGGGTTTGTGTATCATTTATCCTTGCACCCTGGGGCCTTGAATCCCAGCAAATGGCACACAGGAGAGGCAGGTGATACAGCTGCTGGACACCAGGAATAACACAGCTCAATGATGAATCCTGATGTTAACACACCACCAGGTCAGACTAAATTCTGAAGAGCAAAAAAATTCAAAGCTACAAAACCCCACCTTAACTAAAGCAATATTCAAAGGGACCCACAAAAAACCAAAATTACAGAGTTAAGCTACCAAATCAAAACAAAGTAACATGACTTCAAAGGTTACCACACAATTCGCATGGAACAGCAACAAAAAGCTCTAATTTAATCAAGTGGTTAATATGAGATGCTACTGATTATGGACAGGAAGAAATCAAAGACAGGATTTCTTGTGTAATCATCCAGGTTGAGGCAAAACAAAACAAAAACCCAAAATATGACATTATTTCGTTTTCAGCATTTAGGATATTACTGAAAAACATATGCCCATTAATTTACCTGCATCCACTGCTGGACTGATTGTGTTCAGAGTTTGCAATCATCAGACTAAACGCATTTGAGCTTGAACTAGTATAACAAAAATAGAAAAAGAAGTTGGTTACAAGAAGTTGGTTTACAAGAAAATAAATAAGGCAAGTTAAACACCCAATGATGAGAAGAAAGATACAAATTATGCTGGCAATGCAAACACCAACACCAGAGACCTTTACTTTAAGAATTACACTACATAATTTACACCACACGAGGGTACAACTTAAGCAGCACGCTCAGCTCCCTGGTGAAAATGCTTTATACCTTAGTTATTATTCAGAAATATTGATTCAAATGTAAAAAGTCTTTAGGGGCAAAAATAAAAGTGAAATGTATTTAGGAATAGCTACTACCTTTTATGACAATCTGAAGATTCCATGAGCATTGCTGAATCCTTCCCATTTTCATCAGATTCATGACCATGAGAATCATGCCCACTTGAATAGTTTTCATTTGTGTCATTCCCACTGGAGTCATTTCCACTGGAATCATTTCCACTGGAGCCACTGCTCATTTCAATATCTTCCTGAAGAACTTCATGAGAGTGTTCAGGCTTTGCTTGAATTTCTGAATCTTCAGCAATCATCTGGCTGTGGTCACTTGGAAGTCCAGAATAGTCACTCATCTTGAGCTGCTCTTTTAAGGAGAAGGACAGAGAAAGGTTTCCACTGATGCCAGGCTGCTGCTCAGGGTTCTGCTCCTCAGTGCCAGAGGAGAACCCCCAGAACTTGACAGAGTCCGTGGGACACTCATCAGAAACACTGCCAAGACCAAGAGCAAATCAAGCCATATTCAATTTTCCCTCTGTGTAAACTCTGTTTGGAAGTACAGATGCACAAATCTGAGGAGGAAGGGAAGGAAGAAAAAAAAAACCAATGTTCTTGTTTGCCTTGCTGACAAACTGGAATTTGCACTGACTGAAGAAAGCAAAAAATGACATGCATGGTTAATATATTCAGCATTTGAATGGTGAAATGTTTCAGTTAAATTGAAAATCTCACAGTGTTTGATCATGAAAAAGGTATTTATTTTTTAGTAAAAACCCACACATAAGAAAGTAAGTTGAATAAACATGGAAAAACTCCTGAAAAGTACACATATTCCCTTGTTTTCTACTTTCTTGCTTAATACTTGTCAGTATTGCTGCCTAGATTTGGATAATAGCTATTATGATTATCAGTGAAACCACTGCACTGCCATTCAGTTTACCTTGATAAAGGAAAAAACTATTCAGACATCAGAGCATTTCTTATTTGGTTTGGAGGTGATTTGGGTTGGTCTTCTGCATGTCTTTCTTATACAGAAGCCATGTAGGTGAGCAGACAGAACATACAGCAGGAACAAACACACAAACACACCTAATCACCACCACCAAAAATTCTGAGGCATTAATGACCCTGAGAATAATTTTATCTACTGATTACCACTAATTTGGGGGGTATGATAAAAATTGCTTGGAAAAGTAAGCTTAAAACAACAACAACAAAAAAAACCAAAACAAAACAAACAAGAACAAAAAAACAAACAAAAACAAAACAAAAAAAACAAAACAAACAAATAAAAAAACAACACCACCATATCCCTGCTTTTAAAACAAATTCTGATGCACCAGGCTCAAATCAGAGTGCATGCAAAGGTGAATCAAGGGCAGACCAATACTGAACTACCATCAAAAGAGAAGTACTGGAGAGCAGTTCAACTTTATTTATCTTTTAAAAAGATCATATTTAATCTGACTCACATCCTCATCCATTTCAGCAACTCATAGACAACAACAGTGTAGAACTATGAACTAAGATTCTTTGTTGAGAATCTCTGTTGTTTTCAAGACAACAGAACCACATGTATTCCCTCCTCTTTGTTCCTTTAAAATATTCAATATTACAATTAACTAAAAAACTTGGACCAGAATAACAGTGAATAAAATAAATTAACAACCAAGTTTTGTTAATATTAACTACAGCAGCTTTGTCTTAAACACAAATAAATAAATATTTAGGTATTTAAGAAAAGACTGTAATGGAAAACATTCACAACAGTAATTTAAAACACACCATGATTCAACTCCCCTCAAAGCAACACCACATGGCAGCTATTTTCTTACCCTCCTAATTGATGTTTTTCTAGGCATTTTACATCTATTTTGAATTTTCCAGAAAACACTACTTGGCTTCTCATTTGGTCAAAATAATATGCAAGATAGCTGCTTTCACTTAAAAGTACAGTTTAAGGACACTTACGCTATCAGTAATGGTATAAAGATATAAATAATTTTCTTTCCTTACAAGTTCATTCACAAGTGAATTATGGGTGAATACTTATAGGTGTATATAATTCACAAGTGAATTATATTATTATGGGTGATAACAGAAAAAATGCCTTTCAGTAGAGCAAAAGATACTTTTTCCTTCTGCAGGTATTCTCTTCAGGTATTTTAATGCAGACAAAACAGACCTCCTGTGATGCTGCTGTATTGAACACTATACCCAGGCACTGAATTACCCCTCAGGAGTTCTGACAGTTTTTTCCTGGACTAAGGTTAACCACTTCTGTCTTGAAAATTACATAACCAGAGCATGGGATAAAAGAGTATTTACTGTGAGATGAAACTGTAGGGTTATGTCACAATGGCACATTCTCTAGTGGCCAATGATTAACCGGGTCAGATAGCTCTTCTCTGATTTCACCTCTGTGCCAGAAGGAGCTGACACTTCCCGTGCCCTCCTGGGGACATTGAGCGAAGCTTCGTGGCTCTGGCACTGTGTGTGCCCAGGGCTGTCCAGCAGGGCCCAGGGCTGCAGGGACAGGCTGAGCCCAGCCAGCCTGCCTGGCTGTGACAGGGACCAAAACCACCCCGGAGCCAGCATGGAACATGGCACAGGAACTCCTGCATGGACAAACCTCCTGGCACTGCACAGGGGAGGAGTGCTCTATAAATGGGTCAGATTGAGCCCTTTTCTGAGCCAGAGATGGGACAACTGAGAGGGGTTTTAAACACTTTTATTCCATTTTCAGTCTCATGTGAAGGGTGAAACAATACAGGTGTTGTAATTCATACCGTCACAATCAGAAGTCAACTATTTCCTAACTACAATACACTGTAAGTGTTTCTTGGCCTATCAGCTTTAGTCACACCATGCTGTAGATGCCTTAGAGCCAATCCTCTAAAATCACTTCTCATGAGTCCTGCTACAATGCATCATTCATAGTTCTATTTCTCTAAAGTATTTAGTCTTATTTGTAAGACCATCTTGCAGAATTCTCTACAAATTCATTTCCCACATAAATGTGTTGATCCATTTGCACCCAGGGGATGCTCTTCCCACTGCTGTGTAAATCAGAGCACGTCTGCTGAAGTAACTGCAGCCACTTTCAAAAACCATTTCCCACATGTCATTTAATATTTCTCAGAGGACACCGAGGTTGTAAAGCTCTATGGAGAGTTCCAAGAGTTAAGGTAATTAACCCCATCATGATTCATTCAAATGAAGCTTTAAGAAAAAAGGCACTCACAGCATCACCTTAAAGGAGGCCTGAGGTGTACAAATGTAAGGCAAGATCTACAATTTCTCATCCTATACTCTGTACCCAACTTTGGAGTTTCTTTCTGTTTCCCTGAGAAAATGCTACTTAGAAAGAGCTTTAGAAACATAAGAAAAAATACTGCCACAATCAAAACACCACTATCTGTTATGAAATCATAAGTTTTCTTTAGAGATAGGAGAAAAGACCTCTCATAAAATATAAAACTAAAAAAACCCCAACTTTGGGCTGCTATATTTACTCCTATAAAGAAAACTATGTAAATCACTACTGATAGGTTTATAAGCATGAACTACCAAAGACAGACTCTCAGAATAGCCCTAAATTCTCTGAAGGCAATTAGCCCAATATAGCAGTAATGCAGTATTAGTAAAATTGTGCTATTTATAGGAAGAGCAATGATTGTGCCACAGCTTTCCTACTCTGACGTGTGTATTTTGTGGTTGAGTTTTTAGGCACAAGAAACCTCTTCTCCTGAATTCTGATGCCAGAGAGGATTACATGTGCTGTAGTATTTCCAGCCATGAGAACTGTTCACAAATACTTTTTTGACACAACTGTTCCTAGGAAAATTATTTTCCCAAAGTATTTTCTGTAATCTTTGGAAGTCTAAGAGGCAATGAAAATGTGCCATAGCTACCACGTAGAGTCTTACGGTTTGAAATTCTGAGTTGTTAAACCACTGGTGAGTAATTTTTCCACCTCCAAATATCATCTATTGTCTCATCTCCTCCCTTCTTTCCATGACACCCAGGCTAGCTTCTGCCAGGTATTTGTAGGAAACTTCAGCAGTGTTTCCTTAGGTGGGAAAGAATTCTTCCCAAAATAAATAAATACATCGTATGCTATCCAATAACTTTTGAGGAATTTCCTGTAACTCTTGAAACAAGAGTTCATTGATTCAATAACAGTCAAGCTTTTAGGGTTTTGAAAAGCATTTTTATTTTAAGCAATGAGTACAAATTAAGAGAGTCACCAACAGAGAAGAAATGGATACCAACCCTTAGGAGATACCAGGTGATTTTTTTCCTCTTGATACCTGGCAGAAACGTGTGTCAAGAAGCAATTCAGTTGTGTTACTTCTGGTTCTAACTAACAACATGCCAGAACTTCTGCAGCTTTGTCCACACCTAATAACTACATTATGTGATCCAAACTGTAGTCACTAAAGACAATCAAACCAGAAAAAAAAAAGAGTATTTGAGTAATGGAGAAAACAGAAAACACAAGGTTGTTATCTTTAAAGGTTTGTTTCAAAAAGAACTGGCTCAGCTTGAGCTGGAATGGTTTTCTTAGGCAGGACTGGAAGATTAATGTCACTGAAAGTCAGTCTTGCACAAAATTTCTTCAGTTTCAAAATCTCAGAAGCCTCAGTGCCAGAGGCACATACCAGAGTAAGGAATACAGGAAGAGTAAAGAGGAAGGATGAAGAAAAATATTATGATAAACTTGCAAGAGCTTCTGAAGAAAGGGAAGCCTTTCTAAAACAAGACTTTACCTATTTGGGGGAATCTTGGTGCTTTTTAAATTTATAATATGCTGTTAATATCTGCTCTAACTCTGGAGACATTTTCTTAGAAGAGATAGGAGTAACTGTGAAAAAAGCTCAGGCTGGCAATAACCCTCCACCATGCTCTGCAATTTAGATAAGAAGTGATGCAGCTGGCCAGACTTCACCCTGAGCAGAGAAAGAGCTTTAAGTGGAACATCTGCATGCAGACACCAGCACTGTGCGAACACTTCAGGAGCACAGACGGTCAGACAGCACAAAGAGATTCATTATCTTTGCAACCAATCTCAGGGAAAATGACATAATAAATTGCACACATTCATCCCACTCATATGCTTGAATAAATGCCCAATCACTAACCAAACAACACTGGAAGGCAAAAGCTTGCATGTTTTCCCGGTTTGAGGTTCTCTCTTGTTACCAGTTTGAGGAAGGTAATTACATCCCATACCAAGTTCAGTAAGCATCTCAACATGGAAACACAAAGAGCTCTTTTAGGTTTGACATTGAAAGAAGCCAGGTTTTTCTTTATTTTTTGCTCTATCTTCTAAACTTTTAAGCATGTATATTTTGACTCTATAAATAAAAACTTAAAAAAAAATTTAACTGGCACCAGCTAAGCTTCATTTTACAGCAACTGCCTCACAAAAACCCATTCTATTGCCTCTGGCAAAGACTAGTGCTCCCTAAGACCGTGATGCAGTGTGAAAGGCACCATAATTCCACTGAGCACTAAGGACAAACACAGGCATTGATTTGCCAGGTTAGATATGCAGCAAAGGTCTTCTGGTTATTCATTACCTACAGTTGCTCCTTTATTCTGCAGTAAGACAAAGGAAACAGCCTGAACTTGAACACCTCCAAAAAACCACCCCAAAATATGTATGGACAAATGCTGAAAGAAGTAATTGAGCTTGTTTTTGAAAAACACCCTTAAGAAGGGTTGTAGAACACCAAGGAGGCAGATTTCTTCTGAAACAGTAACTTTAAACCCAAAAATCTTGTTTCAGCAGAGATCTGGTTACATTCAGAGAACAGATTTTTCCAGATTTCTTTTCACACAAAAACTATCACGTTTAGTACTGGCAGATAAAGGATGAGAAACGAACAATCCAGAGACAAAATTATCCAATTAAAGAACCAAGTAAGAGGCAAACATCTCATGATTTGAGTCTAAATTCGCAACTACTAGCAACTTACCAATGCTCTCAGTATTTCCAAAAAAGCAAGAGCCACACTACGTTTTATGCCTATAGACATATAAATATTCAGGTACTCTTAACTGTACTAGAACCTGTGGGAGACATTCCTAATGGTCAGGATTAAATTTTATTGAAGATCTTGTCAACAAGAAGGACTTCCAAATGTCTTCTGGATTTTTGCTTTGCAAAATGATAAAAGTTTTCTTATTTAGATGACAAATAACTAGCAAGGGTTTAGTCAGATCATGCAACTCTAGATATGATTGAAAATTAACATCTACAATGAATGCATTCTCTCTGTGCAATTAGACAATAATTAAATGCTTGGTAGTCTAAAAACGTTAAGAGAAAATGTTGGAAAACAAGCAATAATCCAAGAAGTGACCTGTTCAACTATGCAGCTTCAACACTGAGAGCTTTGTGTTTTCCTGGCAAGAACAACTAACAGAATACCTTCACTAGGACTTTTCTAGGAAGGGGGAAAGAAAAGATGTCAATATTCTCAGATTATAGGAAACAATAACAAAGATGCTCAATAATTTCTTGCAAGATCTTTTTAGTAAAAAAAAGAAAAGGAACTTTTTTACTAGATTACTTAACTCACTCCAAGTAATCATGAACAAGTTTTGCTCTTTTTCTAAACAAGCAATGAGATGGCAGTGTTAATAAAATTACCAACATCTGGCATACCACAAAGTCTCCCATAAAATTTGAATTTCACAATATTCATTTTGCAACTTTTTGATCAGGATTTGCCTTTCAGCTCAAGAAAATCTTGAGCACAAGACTCTTATTTTCATTATAAGGGTCATCTTCATTAACCACTGCTTTCAGCTGCCACTTTACAAAGGGAACTGATCAAGACACAGCCTTGTTCCAGAACCATCTGAGTGCCACCCTGAATTTATAGCAGCAACTACACAGGAAGAAGTCAGCATCAGATCAGGGCCCTGGCCTCCACAGTGAAGATGCTTCCAACCAGATTGTTTCCTCACTGAAAAAAACTCAAATCTGAATTTAGGAATAAGTATGATTTAAGGCTAAAAAATATTTTAGGTTCAAATAAGGTAACTCCCCATTTATATCCAAAATATTATTCTGAATGAGTACATATATATAACTGAAACCCCAGTTTAAAGATAACAACATAGAACAATATATTTTCTGCATAAGCTCTAGAGGAGCAGGAGGGGAAGCATCTTTCTACTAGCATGAATCATAATAATTATGTTTCTTACCTGTTTTTTCTACGAAAAGGTGGCAATAAGTGTTTATCAAGCTCCCTCCCAGCTAGCATCAAAAGCATGAAGTGCCTAGGTCCAGAGTCTCCCACATGCATTTAATTCTTGTCTCATCCTCTTCTACTGGAAATCTTTGACCATTACAGAGTCCGGACACCTCTATAACTATAAAATATAAAAGAAATACCTGGGCCCCCCAACAGTGTCCTCTTCAAACAGATACCAGAGAGATGCTCACAGCTATGTCACTCCTATGCAGATAAATGGTGGTTAAACATGAAACTGTCATACAGCAGAGGAAGAAGACACACATTTGCATTTTAAACACTTTTGCTCTGAAATAAGGTCTTAAAGAGTTTTAAAGTAATAACATGTTTTGCACTAGACAAAATAACCCTTAGGATTCACAATCAGAGTGGTACCACACTGTGTACAGTCTGCATGGGTTGACACAGCCACTGGGAGCACAGGGCTGGCCTCCCAAAAGGGCACAGAGCCAAATGCTTGATGTGGTCAGCAGGAGCTCCAAGTGCTCATCGAGTTTTGGTTGAAATATAATTTTATGGCTCTCTGTCACAGTGGGATTGGTAAGAGCATTAAAGATTTTACCAGGCAGTTATAAAATTTCAGTTCACATAATGACTGAGATCAAAAGAGCCTTCTGGAGGTACCTTGTCCAACTCCCTGCTCAGGCAGGAGCAGGCTGCTCAGGACCACCAAGAGATGACTTTTGGCTATCTCCAAAAATGGATATTCCATAGTCTCTCTGGGCAATCTGTTCCAGTGCTCACTCCCTCCCACAGTAAAAAAGTGTTTCTTTATGGTCAGAAGTCTGTACTAACAAAGCCTATTAACATTATTATTCTTCCTAAAAAAAGTTTCTCAAGAGAGATGCTGGGAATTTTGATGAAAAACAAAATAACTGAAAGTTCTTCTAGGAAATCTAGGAAACTAAGTCTGTTGGTGCACGCCACTGCCGTGTGGCACAAATAAATGGCAGAATAAAAATCAGAAGTTCAGAAGACCAACATTTGTGTGGCAGACAATTACATCATTCCAAGTGCTTCATCTGAATACGCAGAAGAAATGTTTGGAACAGTGTTCAAATCCCAAGCTAACCACTCTGGAAGACAGCCCATGCTAACATGCCTTAATTTAACATGCTGCACGCCTACCGACTGTTGAAAGTACACTTGTGTTGGCCAGACTAAAGGAAGAATTTATTCACAACATTCCGTCCTGCATGACGTGAAGCCAGTACAAGTTCTAAAATACTCATGATACAAATCGTATGCACTGGTTCTTTAAATGTTTTGCTTCTGTTTTTATCATAAACTGATAATATAGGATTTAAATTATAGGCTTTATCTCTGGCCACAAGAAGCATTAGAAATTGCCGTAGCCAGAACTACTTGCAGATTTCACAGTTTTTAGCCTGAACATTGGAAATGGTATTTCTGGTCATTTCTGGAATGTCTTTCAGCACCAATTAAATCTTTGTTTAAAGACAGCTCTTGCAATTCCTTTACACTAATTCGATTGCCTGTAAAATTTCAATTAAAAAAAGTTAAAAAGGTTTTCAAAAGTCTAAGTTTGAAGATATACTCACAGTGGCAGCATGTACCATTTTAATTGTGCATCATATTGGTTTCATGTATTTAACACATTTAAGAAGACATTAAAACATTAAGAAAGAATAGTCCTTGTAAACTACTAAAAATTATCATGATAAGCCTTTTTACAATTTAATGGCAAGTTAGACAAATCTACACCAACAGAATTTTTATCTGAAACAAAATGCCTAGTTTGAATGACTTGTATTAAACAATTAGAACAGAATCAGAGGCAGCCAATTTTACCTGTTTTCTATTATTTTTCAGAGGAAATGTACAGGTGATTGAGTATGCCCAAGTCCCAAAATGCTACAGGAGTTATCTACAGACTGCATCTCCACTAAAGTGTTTTCCACAGAAGGAAGTCTAATTTGTTCAGTTCCCAAAGAACACAGAACTTGTGACATTTCCTCATTTTCTTCCATACTGACATATCTCTATTCCAAGCACAGAAGACTTCAAACACTATAAAGGAGTGAAAACCCTGCTGTAGGAACACACCTGTGATATGGGAGGCAAACCAAACTGAAGCAGGTTCACTTTCTGCAGAGAACTGAAGTCACACCTGCAGCATTGAGAAGAGTCAGCTGTTAGAACCTATTCAGATCACATTTTCCAGCCATAGAAAAAAGGACTGTTTGGGGGTTTTTCTCAATTATTTAGACTAAACAGACCCAAAATCTCAGTTACAATTCCATCTGTATTGCAATATTACAGTACTATCCAGATCAGCTGTGTTTCCTGTCTAGGGCTAGTACTGTGCCATCATCAGTTCACATTTAATGAAAGCACATTATAAATTTTCTTCACATCACAGATTACATTCCTCCACCATACTTCTTTAATTATGTTTCCTTTTTTTGCTCCAATAGCAATCAACTTTGTTTTTAAAGCAGAGCACGACTGACCAAAAAATACTGTTGGAAGCTATAATTTGCTTTTTTAAATTTAAGTTTAGGAGCATAACATTTTCCCTTTTCTTCCTGAGCTATCATCCTGATTATCTAAGTAACAGTAGGTACTTGGTTTTCTGGACCCCAAAATTTTCCTCATAATTCAAAGTTCCTTACCACCTGCAAGAGCAATCCAAAAAATGGAAGCTATCAATAAACACCTACACAAAAAACACTGCAGATGCAGCACTTGATGCTGACACTGCACTAAATTCCAGTTTCATAAAGATTTAGAGAAGCCACAGCATTTCCATGTACTTCATGATTTGTGCAACAGGTCTTTGGAAATGTAAAGCCCTGAAGATCCTTATTTTTGGCATTCTGACACTACATTTCAAAGGAAGTACACAAAAAAGCAGTAACAAAATCACAGAGACACCTCCCGGGTACCCGCCCAGGTCCAGAGTCATTAAGAGACAACTGATATCACAAATCACTTTTATGGGTGCAGCATAAAACACTCACCTCAATGAATGTATTAATCATGGTCTTTCCAAATCTCAAAGTGTCATCAATATATTCCTATTAAAAAAAAAAAATCAAGTTTTGTAAGCAAGGTAAAAATTTATTATAAAGGATAAATCAAATCCATTTCATAATGCAAAAGAAGTCAAACCATGCAAGATATGTCTTCTACAGGTGAAGAACAATTATAAAGACTACAAATACAAGATGAGAGGAAATGCAACAAAATTTTACTGATAAAAGTATTTATTATTGTAACCTAACTTCTAAATTGATTCCTTGAGCAACGCCCAGAATAATTACCCACTGAAGTCTGTTCCCTTTATAAATGTAAGAAACCACCCCAAATTCTCATTTCTGCCAGACCAGAAATAAAGCTCATTTTACCCTTTCAGGTAGGTATTCCTTGTGCTGTTAAACCTCCCACCTGTGCTCAAGACTCCATAGTGAATTTGAACTGATCATCCCTGAGAACAAATAGAAACTGTCTCTCAAATTTGTTCTTTCACCTTGAATAAGAGACTTGGCCTAGAGCCAAGTTCAATTGCCAACATGTTGGGTATTTGCTATTAAAAAAAAAAAGCAGCATGGGCTGAGACATCTTCTAAAGACACTAAACACCATCTCCTTCACATGCTCCATGCTGATTTCTAGACATTCTTTTTTCCAGCTTCTAGTCTTAACAAAAGGTGCCTTCTTAAAGGTATGCAACATTATTTGTAAGCAGTGTGAATTTTAAAAAACACCTTATTTTCTTTGTAACCAGAAAATGCCATTGTCTTCCGAAGTGGAACTGGAGCTACAATTAAGCACAACATCAATAATCAGAACTCTAAATTTGCATGTCAACTCTTGCTCCTTTTGAAAAAAATAAGAAAAAATTATACATTTGAGGTTGCCAAGTGTTGTCACACAAAAGATTGAAAAAATATGATTTTCCCCCATGCAGCCATATATTTCACCTTTATTATAGGTGAAACTAGATTTAAAAGTATCTCAATACCATACATCACCTTTAGTATTTGTTGACATCCCCATTAAGCAGTAGCATATCTACTACTCCTTTAAGAAAAAGGACATACTTTTACCACATTTACTGTAGTTCCAGGTTAATGCTGCTCTTTAGACATTGCTGTGGTTCACAGCCTGTTCAAAATTTCAGCCAGAATCAAAGTCCCCTTCTGGAAGATGCTGTGCCAAATAAATTCTTGTCCCCATCGCATCAATAATCCACTCCAAAAAGTGCAGCAAGCTAACAAACACCATGTACCTGTCCTAGGAGTTGGATGTATTTGTACTGAAATAAGAGCTCAAGTCACAGGAGAACCATGGCAGAGATGTAATTGAAATCAAGTAAGTGCTTTTATACACTGAAGATCTTTGTACAATTAAAGAATCTAAGCAGAAACATGAAAGAACATGTAATAAGGTCAAGCACAAAAACTGTACTAAGATACAAAAGCTGCAAGGAATAAGGAGGCTAGGAAGTGAAACCAAGAAAAAAGACAAGTACTAGACATCCTCACCACTTCATCTTGTTTCCCTAAGCTTCAATTACAATAAATTGCAGCTGTTATTTAACAGTGAATTGCCTCTGTTTCAGGACAGAAGGTTAGAAAGGCCATGTAGCTTTGGTTCTACTTTTTAAAAGTCAGTTCTACTTTAAAAAAAAGCCATCTATGCAAAGAAACCTCTGCCCATCTCTATTCTACCTATAGGGAAAATCAAGTGTTAAGAATTACCATGGTATGCTCAAAAACAGGTGGAAGCAAAACTAAAGTCTTTCCCAGACATTTTGGCATGCAGATGAAGTTTCTTTCCCAGCACCAAATCCTGTCAGGATCAACACCAGTACTGCTTGTACTGAACTTCTGCAGCCTGCTCACACCATCTGTAGAATCTCCTCATCCTCCTGCCCCAAAAAATGCTTTCTGTGTATTTCAGTCCACTCATGTAAACAGCATGTTGAGTCACTACCCCTTCAGCATCCTCAATAAAATTTTCCTTCCTATTGGGAGAAAATTAAAGAAGAATTAAAATGATATTCCATGTTTATAGATGCTGAGGAAGGTAAATTTAACGTCACTTCTGATTGTGTTCTACGAGCAAAGTTGCCTAAATTGGACTACCAAAAAACACCAGAGAACTCATAAGGTTCCTCCAGGACTACTACACACTACATCAACAGCAGATCACCAGCAGCTGAGAACATCCGTATAAAACATTCGTGACTTCATAAAAACTTTCATACACACAAATTCTCCTAACCCCCCTTTCATATGCGGATAAGCAGGAGAAACGTGCACTTCAGAACCACTGCCTGGGCAGCTCACAAGCGGCCCAGTGAATTACTGCTGTCCCTGGGTAACTCCTCACGGGGGACAGAGGACCAAGAAAGAGCTGCAGCCATTCAGACCAAGACCCCATCCACCCTGGCAGATACAGAGACACAGAGCAGAGGCCCAGAGCCTGCCCGTGTCCCGGCAGCGCTGGCGGGCGGAGGACGAGCAGGCTGCAGGAGCGTGCCCGGGGATGTGCTAAGCCACTTAGAGCAGCCGATCCCGGCATGGACACCCAGGCATGCGGGGTCCCATGTGCTCGCTGCCTGCCTACTCCACAGGGCTGGCTCCCGGCAGCACCGCGGAACGCGCTCACACCACCGCAGAGACCGCCACTCGCTACACACACTCGGATCACCCCCCACCCCTCTCATTCTGGTCTTCTCCGCCACACAAAAGCAGCCTGGGACCGCAAGAAATTCCAGCAAGAGATAGCAAAACCATCACCCTCCGAACTGTGGGTTTGATTGCTGCCTTCTCTTTTCCCATGTCCTTTAAACATACTTTACAGAAAGAAGTCTAAGAAGAAACACCCTCATCCCCTCACAAACAAAGCTCCAAGTGTCAGAAGGCAGAGCTCGGCAAGCAAAGGCAATGTAGCTTTGGTTCTACTTTTAAAAGTCAGTTCTACTTAAAAAAGACCTTCTTCGCTAGCAACCAACAATATTCCAGTCTCACCCCACAGCAGGGGTTAAGTTTAAGGCACCAGTTGAAGCAGGAAAGCAGACAGACCCTTTTTACACAGGACACAAAAACAGCAGCAGCATTACTTCCAATACCAGCACTTTCTGCATCCAACTTCATCCATAACCAAAAGAATAAGTAAAAGAATAAGTAAAAGCCCTTTACATCTTTAGAGTAATACAACAACATCACAAAAAATAATATGGGTATTAATTGACTCCTTAGCTTGTCAAGCACTGAACAGCAAAGTTAACATAATGAATATTTAAGCACTTTAAAACTTGCACTATAGGGATGTAACTGAATGTGGAATGCAGTAAAACAATCCAGTTTAACATCCCAATAACCCACCATCCTTACAGAGGAATTCTAGGCCATGCAATCAAAACTGGAGACAAAAATTCCTTTTCAGAAACACCTGATTATCTGGTAATTATGATGTGGTAATGTTATAATACAGTGTCTACAGGACACTCATGCCAGCTATTACACAAGGCCTTGCTAAGAACATGACGTTCCTTTTAACATAGGCCAACCATAGCAACCCTATGGAAAACACTACAGTTGATCTAGACTAGTGATAATTTACTTGTTCTACTGGCTACCAGTAATCTTCTTGCTTTTAAACCACAACAAATATACCTCATCCCATGGTAACTTGCTCATTTCCTTATTCTTTGAGGGGTGATTTTTTTTTTTAATGCAGTAAAAGATTTTTTTTTTTAATGCAGTAAATAATATTCTAATACTGTAAAGATGTTAGAGAAATAAGGGTGTGGCATGAACCCAGGAAAAAGAAAACTGTTTATCAGTCTGTATCTAAGCCAAACACTTCCTGGTCATAATAAACGTCTGAAGTAGAAGAAACATCCAGAACTCTACTGCCAATCACTTTCCCCACTTCATTCTGTCCTCATACTTTGAGACTAAACTCCATCAACATCTCAGTTTACTAGAAAAGCTTATTACTGTAAAGAGCGTATTGTTCAGGGAGAGGCTCAAGTAAGTTTATCAAGTAAACTGTGTTGTTACATACTTTAATCTCATGACTAGAGGAAGAAAAAGCAGAGAAGGTATTATGCCAAGAATATGCTACCTCTTTAATGCCTCTCTGTGGAAATCGAAAATGAGTAACAGTAAACTGTAAAAGTAAAAATTACTTGGATTTTCACTGACAGAATTTGTTTGCTAAAACAAATATAGGGAATCTATAACAACTCCCACCAATGGACAAATAAAAATTCCAGCAAAAGCAGGCAGTCTTTGAATTACAAATGAAACAAAAAAACCTGTCAAATCTGAAGAAGTGCACAAAAGGCAAAAACCTGCTTTCCATTCTTTTGCCTTCTGAACTACATCAAGCCAAACCACTTCTTCACGGGACAGACCATCCTCTTCCACTGTGGTGAAAGACATTTATGACACACTGCAGTGTTTGACATTTATGACACCCAACTACAATACCTTCCTTCTGCCTTGAAATACACACTTGAAATGTCCAAAACCTCACCAAAACCTGAAAGTTTGGTAGACTTTTTTTCTTCTACTCCAGGCCAAAGGCCATCTCTTTTCCTCTATGTGCTGCCAGTGAGGTGAGCAACCTCCACAGTCCAGAATCAGGACTCCACACCTCAGAACAGTGTCGTCATCACAAGACTAACATCTAGCTTTGTATGGAGCAAGGACACAGTCCAGTCCTTCAGTGAAACTGCCTCACTTTGCAGAAATAATGCAAGTTTCAAAGACAAAGGGAAAACAGAAAGATCATAAAAGCACTCAAACGCTTGCAAGCATAAGCAAGAAGGAACTTGATGTTATAGTGCAACAATGTGGGCACTCTCCCTAACACCAATCACACTGTGGCTGAAACAATACTGGCAACTTGGAAGGTTTTCTCACCATACTAATCAGGTTTTTACTTCTGACTTGACAGATACTCTTACCACTAGAATCATTAGAGAATTCCCACTTTTTTCCCTTTACTCATGATAGTTATTCAATCTCAGATGTCCAAGATAATAAATCTCAAAGTCTTGCATTTGGAAAAGAAAGATGTGAGGTTACAAGGAAGATGGAGAAAGACTTCTTATCAGGGCATGTGGTGACAGGATGAAAGGCAGTGGTTTGAAACTGCAAGAGGGTAGTTTTAGATGGGACATATGGATGAAACAGTTGGACTTAAGGATCCCAGAGGTCTTTTCCATACTTAAGGAATCTGTTTCTTTGATCCAAATCAATGCACTGTCTCAGCCAAGTTACTTTTTCACTGGAATACACTTGCAAAGCACTGCAGTTTCTAAGTACCTGAGACCTCCTTGGAGGCCTTTTTCCTATGGTACAGAGAGAAATGCTGTCCCTTTATGAAAATGCTTACCCTATTGTGAAAAGTCAAATGTAAAGCGTCAGCTTGACTGTTACCATGCTGCTCACCCTATTTGCATGAAACTGTACTTACATAAAGCGTTTTGTAATCATGCGTGTAATACTATGCACCTAATGCGAACAGCAGCACAACCACACCGTCTCAAGGAACAGACTGTCCTTACCACTATAGGCAACACAAAAAGCAAACGGACATCACCTGTTGCCTACTCTACCTGTAGCTCACACATCTCAGCGGCGCTGAGATTCTGTTACTCATTGCCCCAGAGTTCCTGCCGTGGAGCGGCCCGCCCGGCCGGTGGGACCCAGCTCGGTCCCCCCGCGGTGCCGCTCAGCGCCCCGGGACACGCGTGCTCTCGGCCGGTTCCCCCCGCTCCCTGCTCGCCCGCTCCGCGCCCCCTGGCACAGACGTGGCCGCAGCCCGCGGCCGGCAGAGCGGAGCCCCGCCGGGGAACCGGGTCCGGCCCCGCCGCCGCCTCCTCCGCCGCTCCGGGCCAGGGCCATCGCCGCCCCCTCTGCGCCCCTGCCCGGCCGCAGGCGGCCGTCCCTCGGAGAGCCCAGCTGCCGTCCCGGCCCCGCTGGGGGTGTCTGTGCCCCCACTCCCGAACGCTCTCCTCGTCCAAGGCGGGCGGGGGCCGTGCCGCGTTCAGCCCCGCACCCCGCCCCGGGGAGCGACTCACAGCCGGCCGCCGCTTCCCTCGCTGCGGTTTCACGGGGAGCGGGGGGGGGGGGCGTGTCACAGCCGCCCTTCTGAGGGAGCCCCACACGCCCCCTCCCCGGCGGGCCGGGGCCGGCAGCGGGACGGACCCCGCGGCACAGGAGCGACCCGCGAGCGCATCGTCCCGGCAACGGCAGAGCCCCGGCGCGAGGGTTATGTAACCTCGGCCCGGCGGGCGGGGGAGGCGGGAGAGCCCCTATGCCCCCCGCGGCCGCCGCTCGCCGCCCCCTCCCGCCGCTCCCCACGGGTCCCCCAGCCCCTTCAGGCCGCGGGGAGCGCGCCNNNCGCCCCGCCCGCGCTCCCATTGGCCGCGGCCGCGTGACGCCAGCGGGACGCGCGGGCGGGGGCGGGGCGCGGGCCACTGCCATTGGCCGCTCGGGCCGCCGCTCACTTTACATAAGCCTCACGTGTGGCACCATGTTTCCACCGACAGCCGCGGCCGCCTCCCGAGCCTGCCCCACCGCCGGCCCGCCCCTCCCCCGCGCCGCCGCCACCACCGAGGCGCACTCACCGCCGGCCCCTGCGCCGCCTCCCGCCGAAGCCGCGGTAGCTCCGTTCGCCTCCACCCGCGCCCCCCGCCACCGCCGCTACGGGACCGCCGTGCCGGGGAGGGTGGATTGGGGGGCAGCGGTCACGTGACGCCCCCAGGGAGAGCGGCTCCGCCCCCGCCCGCTCGGAGCCGCGCGTGACGTGTCGTGCGCGCGCGCGGGCAGAGACCGTTGGCGGGTGGGGCGCGCGCGCCTGGCCTGGCCGGGGCGCCTCAGCGCAGCTCGGCCCGGCCTGAGGGCCGCGGGAGGGCCCCGCGCTCCCGGACAGCGCCCGGGCCCTCGCAGGCGGCACCGCCGCCCTCGGGGGTCACCCTGCCGGCGTTCGGTTCGCTTACATAAGGCAGCAGCGCCCGTAGCCCGTTTCCTGGTGCTGCCGCCCGCGCTGGGTGCACGCCCTGAAGTTTCGAAAGTGCCCCCGCGCATTGTTCAGGAGGCGCCGGGTCACAAAGCAAAGGGCAGCGCAGGAGAGCGTAGCGCTGCAGCTCTCTCCCGAACCGGCCGGCAGCATCGGTCTGAACAACTACAACAGTGATTAAACTAAGAATTTCCGAGCTCTTAAACGTATATACTGTTCTCGGCAACAGTATTTCCGCGCGGTAACACGTTACCATGTGATTGCTTTCAATTCTGACTGTTCAGAAAAGTTTTTCATATTTATTAAAAGCATATTTCCCCTTTCTGTTCAAGCCAAACACTCAGAGACCATTGACATTTCCCTGCTCACAGTAAGGAAGCATTTAGTGAATTGTTGTACGTTGGTCACACAGGGGTTCTCTCAGGCCCCTGCACCACCCATCCTACACCGGTGAGAGAGCCTGAGAGTTCAGTGAGATATCACCCAATAACCCATCGCTGAGCACTTCGGCCTGCTCCAGCCTCCGCATCTTCCGAGGCCAAGCAGAGCAATCAGTCGCTGAGAAATTCATGTTACTTTATGCATGTTCTGAGCTTCCTCTGTCTCCACCATGGTAGATGGCTTTGCAAAGACAGGACAGAGAATGTGCCAAAGCCACATTCAGGCTGACAGCGTTTTACACTCACTGCATGCATAGGATGAAACACAGGACAGCCATCAGGGCTTCCACTGTTTATCTGCAGAATGAGGTTAATGCCGCTTCCCTCCCTCACTGCGGTGTTAAGGATAAGTCCATTAGGTGCACAGATATTTATGCTCTGACTGTTACAGAAACGGCCTGTGAGTAAAGGACTGTGGAGTATTTAACTGCTGGACAGGAGAGGGGGTGGGCAGCGGAAGCATTAGGACCAGATTCTGCAGCTGGATTTGTTGCAATGCACAAGTCAGCTTACCAGGATACCATTCTTAGGTTGCACTCCTCTGAGGAGTCTAATTTTAAGATTAATCCTAATTAGGTAGTCTTTGTGTAGTTTGGTCAACTCGTTGTTTGTAGGCCTTCACATCCAGAATTTTACTGTCTTTTTGTAAGTTCTCTGCTTTAGGGTTAAAGGGATGTAGAATAATATTCTTGGTTTCTATGGCATGTTGTTTTTCATGTTACATGCCAAAAATATCTGTCCTTGGCTGAGTGCTAAGGGCTGTGGTCTCTTACCATGGACTCCAACTAAGGCACTTCAACCAAAGCAAAGCCTTGAGATCCACACTGTCCCCTACGCCATCAGATTACAAATATGAGAAGGATGGCAAACCATGGCATTGTGTTAGAGCCAAATGAGTTCCCAGGACACACATTCCCCACTGCAGCAGGACATGCCAGTCCTGGTAGAAGAGTAACTCCCACCACCACAAACAGCTGGTTCCTTTCCCACCCTGGTAACTACCAGAGGCATTACTTGAGTTCTGCATATTTTAAAAGGATATTAATCAGTTGTTTCAGTCAAGCTTATGGGAATAACTTTGAAGTTCTATTCATACCATCTTTTAGTAGTTACAGCTTTATATTTAATGTACCAAAACCCAGGGTAAGCTGTATTACTCAGAATGTGATTATGAACCCTGAACAAGTTCAGTCCAAATTCTGCAAATTGGCACAAGAGAAATCATGTGTGTAGATAAAAATTATTCCGGAGACCTCCAATTTCAAATAACAAGAGTGCAGGTACATGGCTTCTAAAGGAGTGAATATTGCTATTGACTCATCTACTAAGAAACAAAGCAAAATAAAGTTATTGCAAAATTTTACAAGTCCAACACGTTTGTTTTTTGAATGTCACTTCGTCTGCTAGGCAGGAGTAAAATACGTATACGCACACACAAATGGTTCTAAAGAACATAAAGCTTGTAAGAAAAGCATTAAAATGCTCGGGGTTTTTTTTCCCAGCTTTGTTTATTTTGTGCGAGCGCGTGTTCAGCTGTACTCTCGGAGCGCGGCAGAACACATGGCGGCCGTGCCCAGCGAGCCCTTTGCGCGCCGGGCACACCGGGCCCCGCGGCGGCGCTGCCCCAGAGAGGAGGGCTCGGCTCCCGGCGCTGCCGCCCCGCGCCCGGGGCTCGGCTCCCTCGTGCGGCCTCGCCGGGAAAGCGCTGCTCCTTGGGGCCTTTCGGGGTGTCCCGCTGCTTCTCACACTTACTGCAGCAGATTTTTAGCCACACACGCAAATGCTGAACCTTTTCCCAGCATGATAAAAAGTAGAATTTTTGCTTAACTGAAGCAATTCAGACAGTTCTGATAAGCAGCGATGTATTGACAGTACCTACATTTTTAAAGGGGAAAAATCCAAGCCTTTCAATATGGAAAAATAATTATTTGAGACCACCTGAAAAACTACCTGAGGACTGCTTGCTTGGATTTGCTAAGGAAATAAGGCTCCTCTTTTTTTAATAACTGTGCTTCCCTAGCCACTTGTAGAAGTTGCCTGTTCAAAGATACTCCACAGCACTGACGGAACTGTGTATTATTAAAAAAACCCAATCAATACTTTACAGCTGGAGCCCACGTCTAATTCTTCATTTCCTAGGTCTAATTACTCACCATTTACAGTGATGCTGACAGGCATTGATTCTTGCAAAGATCCGGAAAGGCTTTTTTTGCTAATGAGCAAAAGTCGTCACTCTTACTCTCTGTACAGACAAAGGAGAACGAAAGGAAAAAACCCACTTTGCTCATTACCAGTAAATATATGGACAGGTTTTTCTGAAAGAATTGGAGAGTGAAGGAATAAACTAACAAATAAACAGCAATATCATACAGTTTTGAAAATACTTTGATTAAAATGTAAAGGAATATAAAAACACGATAAAGAATTTCAACTCAAGCAGCAAGCTCCTGATACATGCTCCACTTCAAAAGTCCTTTGCACAAGTGTCTGCTTGTCTCCAGACAGAAAACCTTTGCTAACAACTTCTGAGGAATGTAGGTTTTCATTCTGTCCCTATTCTTACTGTTTTCTAACTATTCTCATTAAATTCAGTTTCTGTTGGCAAATGTAGTGTAATTTTATATTCCAAATAGCTTGAAAAGTGACCCATGAAGGAGCCCTGAATTGTTCTTTTAGAAGAATACAAATGGAAGGGAGTGTATCTCCCCACTGTACCTCCATGCGCTTATCCCCAAGCCCATGAGCATGGTTTTAGAAGCAAACAGCTCAGAGCACTCCAGGTCTGAGAACCTGCTGTTTAGTGTGTATTAGCAACTCATTTTCTGCAGTCAGCCTCACAGAAGCCTGAATGAAGAGAGCTTGACTTCACCGTGATGAAAAGGGGTTTAAAGCTTCCTGCATAACTCAGAGAGTGATAGTTTGTGATTTCACGGTCTGCCTAAGGTGATCAAAGTCCTTACACATCCACCAAAAGGAACAGTCCTACCACCTCCACTGAGTTAAAAATCAGTGATTATGCAACTGTACTGTTAGTTAGGTTAGGAAACCAACTTGACTGAAAATATCCCATGAAAGAAGTTTTTGGTTGGATTACATCACAGCTGTGGGAGCACAAAAGCCAAACCAAAACAGGATCAAAGAACATATTTTGAGCTGGAGTGAGGATCCAAGACCAAGAGGAACATCAAATTACAGAGTCAGGCACTTAAAATGAAATTTGCATGTCATTACATTAACGTAAGAGAACTAATAAGAGATGCCAAGCAGGAAAGTGCATCCTTGTTCTTGCCTACTGTGTTGGATTTATACATCCTCTTCTGCCCTGAAAGAAAGTGATTACATCAGGTTGGGCTTCACCATTCAAAAGCATCCAGACATTTATGCCAAAGACAGCTTTCACAGCATTTCTGACCTGATCTAACATTTCACTTCCATCAAGGGGTTGGCACCACTGCCACCAAGTACTCATGGCTATGTGGTCTTGACTGTTCCTTTTCCCACTCTGCTACTTCCTTGGCCCCTCAGTGAGCCAGCTCCAGTTGTTAATCTCTCAGAAAGCTCCCTGGGTTTGTTTCCTGTCTGTAAGCTGCTGAATATTCCTTGGTGAGAAAGTACATTCCCAAGTCCGGATATGGCATGGACAGGGCAGTGAAAAGCTCTTTTAAAGGCAATGAGGCTGCAGAAGATATTTCCACAGCTTTTGATACCTGAGGTGCACTCCTCTCTGGATTACATGTGCCCATATTTAGCAGGTGTTCTTGAGACACCCAAATTCTTCAACAGACACCTGGGTACCCAGGCCCAGGACATGGTGCTGGACCTGTACCACAGTGTATTCCAACCCTTGCCTCCCCACTGGTTCCTACTGCCCACTCTTTGCATTGATTTAAACTCTGCATTTGCTGACCAGAGTCAGTTTACTGCCCTCCATCATGTCTGTGATCTGCTTTTGGGCTCACAGCTGCAGAGTGGAATGTTACCAATCTCCTACAGAAAGACATACTTTCCTTTACAAACAGAGTAAGGGTAGAGAGACAACATGTGGGTACTGACTTGCCTACCAGTGAGCATTTATGCAATTTTTATTAAATAATCATTACATAAAGTGTTGGATTAGGTCTTGGCATGGGATTGCAGCTGGACTCACGCACAGGTACACTGACAATCACTGTGCCAGGGAGTCGTGCTGCTGCTCTCAGCTGCTGGGAATTGAGGCACCTTTCCTCCTTACCTTGTTTTAATTTTTAACAAATATGATAGCGTTAACAGACTATAACAGAAACATTTGTAAGAAACGGGATGCTAAGTGGCAAACTAGCTAGAATGTGGCGCAGCAGAGCGACTGCCCTCCCTGTCACTGTCACAGGCCTGACTCCAGCCAGACGCTCAGCCACCCCTTCCACAGCAGTGCTAATTATAGACCGGTGATTTGTACTCGTTGAGGAAGGAAGAGCCAAATTTTAAATGGGAAAGAGTGTCTTTCTGTGTAATTCTGGAGAGTATCTCTTAATTGAAAACACTTCATTTTCAGATTGGATTTCCCATTCCTCCTCTGTGTCAATTAATTTTCCGGCTTTCGTTGACACTTGAGCTGTTTTGAACTGCTCGTTGCTGCTACTGAAGTCAGCGGAAGCTTGGGTTTGTTTTCAGGAGAGGGTGTTTAGTGACTGCCAGAGTTTGCTTCAGGAAGAAAACCTGATGTACCTGGCCACACTACTGAAAACAAAGCAGGGATTTTAATAACCAGGCATTGCAAAAGTCCCTTGTACTAAGTGAATTAGAGAGACTGCAGTAAACAAATTTTTACAGATGCTATCAATAAATAGAAGTTTCTGATAAGCGATCAGAAATTCTTTTGTTTAATTCTAATCAATTAGACAGCTACTTTGCCCACTGTCATTGAAACATAGAGCCAGGGGGCAAAGGATTGATACAAAGTGTATTTGGATAAATCTCTTTGATATAAACAGCTTTGGCAATTGCTCAAGAGAGTGACTAAACCAAAGGGGGCAGAAATCTTTCCCATCTTTGTGGATTATCTGGTATTTAATTGGTATGAGCTTAACTACTCTATGTAGTTAACTACTATGAGTCCTTTACTAAGTGCAGCT